CAAACAAACCAGCTTTAATCTAGGTGATTTTATTTATTTTTTAAATATATTTTATTGGTTTTCCACAGAGAGGAAGGAAGAGGGATAGAGAGCTAGAAACATCGATGAGAGAGAAACATCGACCAGCTGCCTCCTGCACATCCCCCACCGTGGATGTGCCTGCAACCAATGTACATGCCCTTGACCGGAATCGAACCCGGGACCTTTCAGTCCACAGACCGACACTATCCACTGAGCCAAACCAGTCTCGGCTAGGTGATTTTATTTTTAAAGGATATATTTTTATTGGTTTCAGAGAGGAAGGGAAAGGGGAAAGGAGAAGGAGAGATAGAAATATCATTGATGAGAGAGAATCACTGATCAGCTGCTTCCTGCACGTCCACAGTAGGGATGGAGCCCACAATCTGTGCAGATGCCCTGACCTGAAATTGAACCCTGACCTCCTAGTTCATAGGTTGATGCTCAACCACTGAGCCTTGCTTGCCGGACTTTAAATGGTTTTATTTTATTTAAAAATATATTTTATTTTATTAATTTTTTTACAGGGAGGAAGGGAGAGGGATAGAGAGCCAGATACATCAATGAGAGAAACATCAATCAGCTGCCTCCTGCACATTCCCCACTGGATGTGTGCCTGCAACCATGGTATATGCCTGGGACCAGAATTGACCTGGGACCCTTGAGTCCACAGGCCGACGCTCTGTCCACTGAGCCAAATCGGCTAGGGCAGGTGATTTTACTCCAAAACTAGAGGCCCAGTGCATGAAATTCATGCATTGGGGGCAGGGGTGTCCCTCAGCCCAGCCTGCATCCTCTCTAATCTGGGACCCCTCGAGGGATGTACGACTGCCTGTTTAGGCCTGATCCAGGTAGTCGTACATCCCTCTCACAATCTAGGATGCTGACTTCCAACTGCTCGCCTGCCTGCCTTCCTGATCGCCCCTAACTGCTTCTGCCTGCCAGCCTGGCCACCCTTTAACCATTCCCTGCTAGTCTGATGCCTAACTGCTCCTTTGCCAGCCTGTTTGCCCCTAACTGCCCTCCCCTGCAGGCCTGGTCACCCCTAACTGCCCTCCCCTGCAGGCCTGGTCACCCCTAACTGCCCTCCCCTGCAGGCCTGGTCCCCCCCAACTGCTCTCCTCTGCAGGCATGGGGCCTTCCCAAATTCCCTCCTCTGGCCATCTTGTGTCCACATGGGGACAGCCATCTTGTGTGTTGGAATGATAGTCAATTTGCATATTACTCTTTTATTAGATAGGATGTTGAACATCAGTCCCTTCCTCATTACTGTCCAGTCAGCAAGATGGGGTTGGTGAACATTGGGCTATCACCCAACCTCTTGGCTTAAAAGCCTCCAACAGCTCTGGTCATAACATCTGGACTGATATCCATACACTTCTCTCTGGCCTCCAAGGCCATAGCTGATGCCTCCCTCCCTCCCTGACTCATGTCCTAATTTCTACAGGTGTCCACACCAACCTTGTTTCTCAAACATGCCAGTGTGTGCACATCTGAGGGCCTTTGAAGAGGCCTCTTGCTGTTCACTCAAATCTGCTCTCTCCACAGTGATGGAACTGTAGTCAGGCAGTGCTGGACTACATTCATAGCCTCCTTAGCAGTAAGCAAGACTCTACCATCAAGTTCTCCCCAGCACAGCATGAACAGAAATAAAGTGATCCACTTCTAGAATGGGCTTCTCCATGCTGTTTCTTCTTCTACCTACCAGGTAGGATGAAGCAAAGAGGATGTTGGACTTATAAGATGTGAAGAGCCTGGTTCCCTGAATCACTGCATGGAGGAGAGCTGCCCATCAATCAGGAACACTTGTCTTGGACTGTCATAGGCAAGATCAAAACTTTTGTGGTTATAAATTTTGGAAATGTTAGGTCTCTTTGTTCCCCTCTGCCTAACCTAACATAAACATCCCACATCCTCACTTGGCACTCAAATGTTAAAGGTTAGCTTCTCAGAAGACCTTCTCATTGATTACTCAACATTAAGTAGTCCCTAGCACCTTCCATCGTACCAATCTACTCAATTTTCATCATAGAATTTATTACTTGGCATTTTGTTTGTCATCATTCTTCAAAGAGACTACTGTCATGTAAGGTCTATGGGAATATGCATCTTTGCTCAGTTCCTGCAATCTGGCACATGATTCAATGTTTATTGAATTAATATCTTCTGCTGAATTATTTAACTCAAAAGGATGCAGACTTTTTTTTTTTTTTGCCATCTACAGAATTAAAAGACCATAAAAAAACAGGAACCAATAGAAGGCTGCTTTTTGTTGTACCTGATTTGGGCCTTTCTGTTTTAGAAAGACAGTGGATGAAGAACTACAGTCAGTCTGTACAATCATTAACAGAGAAGTGCAGTTTGTTAATATTTCAAATTAGTCTTATATTTGGATGTAATATGAAGTACTACTTCACATAGATGCCTGCAAACTTACTAACCTCAGAGTGTCATGTCTTTTAAAACCTACATTAGCTGAAACTAGTTTGGCTCAGTGGATAGAGCATTGGTCTGCGAACTGGAAGTCCCAGGTTCGATTCCGGTCGGGGGCATGTACCTTGATTCTGGGCACATCCCCAGTAGGAGGTGTGCAGGAGGCAGCTGATCGGTGCTTCTCTCTCATCAATGTTTCTCTCTCTTCCTCTCTGTAAAAATATCAATAAAATATATTAAAAACCATACAAAAACCGTACATTAGCCCAATGGGGTGTGGCTCAGCAATTGAGCATTGACCCAGGAATCAAGAGGTCACTGGTTCAATTCCTGGTCAGGGCATATGTCCAGGTTGTGGGCTGGATCAATATTTCTCATTATTGATGTTTCTCTCTCTTCCTCTCCCTTCTCTAAAATCAATAAAAAAAAACATTAAAAAACAAACAAACACCCCCACACCTGTATTACTTAAACTCAACAGTCATCCTAGTCTGGAATCCCTAAAACCTGCAAACTGAACTCTACAACCCCGTTGTATTTATGGTACAATCCTTAAGGCCTTTGAGCTGAGAAACTGAGGCAGTGTAATGGTGTTCATGGATTTGTCCATTCAAAACAAATCAGGCACTGGGGACATATAAAGCAGTGGAAAGGACAGATGTAAATCCCTACCCTCACAGACCTTGTTTTAATGGGGGAGGGAGACAATAAACTAGGTACAGAAATGACATGCAGAGGGTGTTGGGTAGTGGGGTCACTGCTGAGGAAAGGGAAGTGACATAGAAAGAGGAGTGGGTGGCTACAATTGTAGAAAAAGTAGCCAGAGAAGACCTTACTGAGATGACATTTGAGTTAAGATCTGAAGGAAGCGAGAGGTGCCTGGGGAAAGAGCATTTCAGACAAGGGACAAATACTGAGGTCCTGAGGCCGAGAGAGCCGGTGAGGTCATGGTGAGGTCAAGCTCGGGCACAGGGAGGGAAGCAGGAGGAAAAGGCACTGAGGACTGTGGCTTTCACTCTGAGATGGACTCTCTGGAAGGTCCCAGCTCATGCTGGGAATACAGGCAGACAAGGGCAGAGCAGGGAGACCTCCTGCAGTAACCCCGCTGAGAGGTGCCTGCCTGGGACCAGGGCTCTAGAAAGGATCAGATTTTGAACAGACTTTGAAGTGGAGCCAACAGACTTAGGTAGGGTGATTGGATGAACGGTGCGCAGGTAGTCAAGGTTTGAGAGTGAGCAACTGGAAGGATGAAGGAAGCTGCCACTTACTTCTCCGGGGAGGACGGTGAGAGGAGCAGTTAGGGGTGGAGGATTTGGGGCTTGGGGCACTTAAGATTCCTGAGGCAGAAGAGGAACCAACCACTCTAGCTCTAAGTTTTTAAAGGACAAAAGCTACAGATAAGGATTGATATACTTGCTTAGTCCCATTCTCACACCAGCTCTCAGGGATGCAGTATAAGCTGATGACTGAGCACTTTTATGAATCTCTACTGCAGCTATCTGTCCCAATGCCAACACTTATATATGGGTAGGAGCAGGTAAGGTACCTCCAGCTGTTTGTCAGACCTTAAAAAGCCACAAGCGAGACCTCAAGGAAGAGAACAGGGCATCGCAGAAGATTCTAGAGGGAGGTTAGTGGCATGCTGGGATGGGGTATGGGACAATCTACTTGGGAGAAAGGCTGTGTGGTCCATGCTGAGGTGAAGGTGGGCTGCTGGCTGACCACCACACTGTACTCATCTTCTCGGGCACACAAGTCGATCAGCCCTCACAGCCTGTTTTAGGAAGATAGTGGATGAAGAACTGAGGCCAGTCTGTACAGTGTGGCATGGCCATGCGACCAAGTTCCAGCCTGTGAAATGCGTAGAGAAGTGATGAACATCCTTCCAGGCCGGACATAAAAACTTCACTGAACTCATTCTTTTCCTGGTAGGTCAGCTACATCCGGGCATCCAAAGTCATCTTGGAAGCCACGTAGCCGAAAAGGGCAGAACCCTGGCAGCCTTAGTGACTGAGCCCTCCCTTCCCACACATCGCTGCTGGAGTCGCCCGACTTCCGGAAATTTCCTTTAGCATCCTCAAATCTCGCGTGATGCAATGGATACTAGTTAATACCTAATGAGCCCTTGACAATGTGCCAGTAATTTTCTAAGGACTTTATACGTATTGTTTCATCCCTGTGACCTCCAATTGTCCCTATTTTACAGAAGAGGAAACTGAGGCACAGAAAGGTTACTTACCCAGATACACAGCTAGTAAGTAGCAAAGCCGAAATTCAAACCCAAGCAGCCCGGCTCTGGAGACAGCCCCGAACCAGTACCCCATCACATGTTTCTATTACTTGCATCAACCGCCCACGTGGAGCCACAGCGCACACCTTATGGACACAACAGCCCCTCCTGCAGCGGTTACTTTAATGGCCTGGAGATGCCCTTTCTTCTGGGTTTCAGTCACGTGACAAGTCATAGAGCCTGGGTAGAAGTTATTTAAAGGGACAGGGGTTCAAATTAATTAACCATCTCAATGGAAAAGGAATTGATCAAACCAGAGTCTTATGATAAAAACTTTATTGTCTTAAATATCAAATGTTTTACACACCACTTTTCTTCAGAAAGTTCCTATTAAAAAAAAAAAAAAAAAAAAAGGAAGTGTTTGGATTATTTAGGGCTGATTTACATTTCATTACGTGACACAACTCAAACCCAGACGCATCTACTTCGCTCAGCTACAGACTGGTCCTATGCCCAGCCCCTATGGCACAGCGCAGCCAACTGTGGGATTCCTGAGTTTGGTTCCCTTAAGTCCTCAGAGTTTCCCAACTCTCAAAACCAAAGCATTATGGGAGGGACTGAGCTATTGGCAAGCCTATTTTGCCAACCAGCCCAGTTCTTGTAAGATGCAGTCGTCTCCAAGTGTAAAGAAAAGTTGGGAAAGCATGAGCAATAGCGAGAACGAATAAGGGGAAAAGAGCCATTTCTATTTGCTCAGATTTGCCAAATGTGGTTACGAAACTGGTAAACAAACCTGGAGTGCAAAGGCCACTGGCCCAACTTGCCATGAAGATGAGATTTAGAATTAAAATGAGCAAATTAACTTCCATCAGAGGAGCAGTGAAAAAGGCAAATGCAATTTGTATGCTGAATTGCTCCGAGTTTATCACCAGAACTATCTCAAAAGAATGATAAAAAGAAGAGGGAATGGAAATACAATCACTCAAAGGGCAAGGTCACAGATGGTGGCATTAACTCAGCTGAGAGCCTTCAGGAAGGATAGAGGAGTCTGGTCAGCATCAGGTAACCTCAGACCAGAGGAATTTAGAAATAAACCAATCTGACTGCCTCCAGCAGGAAACCAGTAAGGGCCTGCCTGACTTTAAGCCACAGACGCATTCATTCAAGGTTGTGTGTAAAACAAACTCCTGGTAAACAGCATATTTCCCATTAGACGTGAATTTCCCAGGAAAAAGATTCCATGATGCCCCCTCCTCAAGTCAGCTAATGAAACCATACAGTACATATTTAAAGGGATGTATTTCTATAAGCATTACCCTAATTTTATATTTCACATGCTTCCATTCCAGGTCTTCGGTAGTTTGCTTAGTTTTAGGCAAAAAATATTTTCTAACTCCTACACCCTTGAACCATTCTCTGCAGATTTAATTCTATGAGATTGTGTCCTAAAACGTATCAGCTACAGCCCCCAGAGGGTTTAGGTTACCGATCACCAATACATAACTCGCTGCAAACCCGAATCACTAGCAGTGAAAAGTCCAGAAATCCTCCCTGTATGCTGCAGGATCACATGCGGTGACATTTAAACGGGTTTCAGAGTGTCCTTTTGATGGAGCTGTCCTGTAGAAAGGTTTGCTAGAGCCTTGAATCCTCTTATAAACTCTGCCCATCACCGGCCCCACACCCTTGCCTGCTACATGTCCTGCCCTAGGCCCCCACGTTCACACATTGCCCTCAGCAGCTTTAGAGCAGCAGGCCCTGCAGGCCCTCTAAGTCACGTGTCAAACACAAGGCCCTCGGGCCAAATCCGTCCCGCCAGGCCTTGCAACGTGGCCCGCACCAGCTGTCATCACTGCATTCCGCTGCGTTTCCATCACAATGACAGTTTATGACTGTTCAGTAAACCTTTCGGCCCGAGATTTAGGCAGGATTTTAGATTTTGGCCCCTTCTCTGATTGAGTTCGACACCCCTACTCTAAGTCCTGCTGGCCCCGATGGTCCGTGTTCTGAGCAGCCACGCTCGGGGGACTGGGGAGGATGCTACAGCACACCCGTCATCTCTCTACCCTGCATGCAAGGGTCACCTTCCATTTATTGTACTTGTACTCCCCCCACCCCGGCCCCAGCATGAACTGATTTCTGAAGACCTTCTCTCTCCAGTTAGTTCCACCAAATGACTTGGTGCAGGACGATTCTGAATGAACACGAACGGTGAGCCTCAGGCCACCCCATGTGTGCCCCTATCTTCAGGAGGCCCCTCAATGGAGCCCCCATACTTGTCAGTCCCCACCAAAATGAGATGCCTCTGCCATTTGGAGAAACTAAGGCACAAGAGAGGATCAAGCACATCAAAGGCTCACCTGAGGTTCTTCAGTTTATGCAATGAACGCCTAGTGACACCTCCTGAGGCCCCCCGAGGACCGGGAATCGTTTTAGCTTTCCCATCCTCAAGGACATGTTTTCGGCCTATTTTGTTAAGAGGAACTGGCATTGAAATTTTTTCAGAGGAAAAGCTCTTTTTACTTTATGATAAGGTGTCCCGCTTTTGGCAGGACAGTCCCGATTTTTGGAAAGATTGGAAAGATCTGGTCACCTTACTTTATGGAACTCCTAACACGAAAGGGAACAGTCATCTTCCAGGATGGGAATGGGAAACTTTTTTCCTAGTAAAGACACAGAGTACACTAAGTCACCTAATTCAAAGGAGAAACGTTTTTTGGTAATTTGTGCTCAGCTTCTCTCCCGATGTTACCAGCGATAACAACTTTAGAATATTTGACAGTTCAAGTATCCTGTTTACCCTCAGGGCAGGTGTCAAACGGGTAAGACAAAGAAATCAGAAAATACTGAAATTCCTGCCACTTAGTTGCAAGGCTGTTTTTTATATAAGGGTGTGTGTGTGTGTGTAAAAGCCATAGGTGAAGACTGTATCTGTAGATATGAAAACTTTGCTTTTTAATCTATGTCAAGTTAACCATAGGATGTTTGTCAAGCACACACAAGAGCTGGCGGGTAAACCAACATTTTTATGGTTTTTACTAGAGACAGAAGTGCTAATCAAGATTCCACTTGAAATGGTTATAATGAAACCAGTGACATGAAGCCTCATGTATCTCTCCATTTTCGTGCGACCCTCTTGCTGGAGAAACACGTGGGGTAGGCTGCAAGGCAAAATAGCCTTAACACACACTCACCGTCTATCCAGTTCCCTTCGTCAAGCAATTGGTAATTTTTATGTTTATGGCTAAAGCCCAAACTCTGGGATGAAGGCTACTGGCCTGGGGCCTAACCAGGGACAAGTGGAAATAATTATTATCACCTTCAATGGGCAGAATCTATAATGTCAATATAGGTATCTGTTTAACAAACACAATCTTTTTTTTTTTTTTTTAATATTTTATTGATTTTTTTACAGAGAGGGAGAGGGATAGAGAGTTAGAAACATCAATGAGAGAGAATCATCTATCAGCTGCCTCTTGCACACCCCCTACTGGGGATGTGCCCGCAACCAAGGTACATGCCCTTGACCGGAATTGAACCCGGGACCTTTCAGTCCACAGGCTGATCTCTATCCACTGAGCCAAACCGGTTTTGGCACCAAACACATTCTTACACACAGGAACCAGCTTAAGGAGAAATTCGGAAGTTATACATAAAAATCGCCTCCTCTCTGGTGAATAAACAGACCAGCCCTGGAGGTGACTATGAACCAGACCACTGTCCACGACTGGTAATGAAGGAGCCACCCGATAAAGGGTCCATTACAGGGCGGGCTGGCCCTCACCAGTTCTGCTGGCAACCAGAGGAGTTTCACAGTTTTATTTGATTTTTAGATAAAGAATAAAAACTGCCAGTGATGGTTCACTAGTGTCGCACTCTAGAACTTCTGAACTCACAAATGACTCAAAACCCTCACAATATCAACCAGCTAACTTCCCTAAAAAACACACACAAAAAAAAACACACAAAAAACACACACACGATGGACAGGAAATAAGATCTTAGAAATAAAAAGCAACTGTACATTGGAAAAGGACAAGGATATTTGGGTTAAGTTCCCTCAAAGTATTCCTAACAAGAACACATGGACACCTACAGGCCTAATAATAAACACACACACTTAGATGCTATTGCAATGAAACTTTTTCCGGACTGAGCTCCCACATTCCATCTTTGGGGCTGATTCCCGTCTCCACACAGTGAAGGCAGTGGCCACGCCTCTGGGCGATGCCAGCCACCTGCTCACAGAACACGAGGCCCATCTTCACATAGGCCTTCTGGTCACTTCCAAGTTCCTCCACCCCACCCACCACTCTGTGGCCCTGAAGGTTTATAAACTCCGAATACATTCCCAATCACCACCCTCAAAGCAAATATAAGGAACCCTTTGCACTGCCACCGATCTGCCCCAATCACAGCACTGACCACCATTAGTCACAGCTCTCGGAGGTGGCTGGCAGAAACCCTACCAGCAGTTTCCCAGAGCATCTCACATCTTTGGTGTAGGGCAGGCGAAAGGGTCTGCGGCACGTCATTGTCTAAAGGACATTTTGAAGACGATCTGGCTTGCCTGTTGTTTCGTGCGCCCTCTTGAAAAACGGTTGGTTAACTACAACTTGTCACAACCCTGGCTTAAGAGGATCGTGACGGATCTAGGTGATGTCCCATCACTAAAGTCTTCTAAAACACAGCACAGCCTAGCCAAAACCGGTTTGGCTCAGTGGTAGAGTGTGCCAAGAGAAGATGGAATAGGGTATAAGAGAAATGCCTGAAGTAGCCACAAATTAAAATTTCAAAAACTCCTGAGATATGAGCCTCCATTTTGATTGTGCTAAATGACGTGAATTTTGATGGAAAAAACAAGCTTTTAAAGAGAGTCAGACTTTAGACAAAATCGCTTAACACTAAGTTCACAAATCACCATTTCAAAGGTTCTGTTTCAAACACATGGCAAACTGTAACCCGGAACTGGGAATTATCATGCTCAAAATTCTTTCCGATAAAACAAGATTTCCGATTCCTTCTGGGTACAGAAGAGAGCAGGTGTCCATCCAGTAGGATTACTGCACAGGGGGGCCCACAGGGCAGGGACTTCCAAGGGCTAGTCCTCATTTAGTAAAAGGCCACGAACACTATGCCCCACTCGAACTTGACATGGTAAAACAGAATGTGATGAATCTTGTTTGATAAAAGAAACTCCTGAGAAAAGAAGGGGATGGAATACACTACCAACCATCTAGTAAAAGGCCACTTGAGTCAGAAACTGCCTTTACTATTTATTTCTATCGCCACGAAGCACACTCGCCAAACAGAACATTCCAAGCACCACGACCAACCAGCGGCATGGTTCACAATTCACTAGTTCCCTCAGATCCCAGCTCAGACTGAGCTTTAGAACTTCCTAGTAGAAGATGAACTTAGGAAATACACTGCTGACCATCAGCCCATTAGCTGAGCTTGAGACCATAGTTTGTCATTGAGGGCTGAAGTGTGATCAGCGAGGTGCTAGCAAACCCAATTGCTAGTAAATTCCACTGTTCAGGTCACTATTTTTCACTCACAGTTCTTGAAACATCACCAAGACATTTGCAAGTGGAATTCCAGGTTGTTTTTTGTTTTTGTTTTTGAATCTGGGTAGCACCATGTTCCACTCTGTCCATTCCCCTACAATACCCCATCCAAGGTGGCGATCCATGCAGCAGCCTATGATGTACGAAGTAACTCAGATTTTAAACGCTCCCGATTCATCCCTTTACAATGTCAAATCCAACCACAAACCACGCCAGGCAATATTCTTCAACTTCCCTTTTATAGCTGATGAGTCATAATACACGGAGCACGGAGTAGAATTCCGAACGCCCAAGCTATGTGATCAGAAGTTTGTAAGTGGACAACGGGACCAACAAGCCACACCTTGCCCGCGGCACAGACACAGCCGAAGTGTGGACTCGAGCTGCTCTCAGCTGCACGGGTGGTGGGATTTCTCAGGGCTTCTGCTTCTCAAAGACTCACTCTCATTCTACAATGGTACGCTAAACACAAAGCCATCGATTTTATTCCAGAATACATCATCTTAATGAGAATAAAACGCTTTTGTATACATAGACTGACATTACACTTAAAAAGGCCCAAATTTTAACAAATAGACAAATTCATCAGACAAGAGATCATAAATTACTTTGGCTGAAAAAAAATCTTAAAAAAAAAATCTGGCTCAACATTCTGCTTGCAGGTTACTACTAGTACATATGCTGTATATGTGGTGAGTGTGTGTATGTGTGTATAATAGCTTTTTTTTTTCCCCCCAAGGGAATGGAGTATGGTCTAGCCCACTTTTTCCATGGTTACGTAGGAACTACAATGTTCTTTGCTAGCAAAATAAGAAGTGCAAGGTCTGCGTTCCCACCAACTTGTTGCAAAGCCCCGAGAGCTTCCTGCAAGGTAAAGCCGGCGTGGAGAATCCGGTCAATGTCCGCTGCAGGGAAAAGTAACGGTGGGAGGATGGAGGGGCCCGTTGACGGATAGCTGGTAGGCGGCTCCAATTCAGCTTCAGGACAGACACCTTCTCTGGTCTCAGGCCCACCTGTCACCAGGTTCTGTGTGTCCGGACCCAAATCTTTAACCAACATGAACTCCGATGACAAGGACTTCGTTTGCTCCGAAGTCTGCTTGAGTGCCTCTTCCTCACCTGCTAGAAATTTTGGTGAAATTTCTACACCTAAGGTGCAGTGTAATTGATTAGACATTTTAGCTGAGGCTAGAATGACAGAACTGCTCTCATTTACTGATTCTGTAGACTGGGGGGCACCTTCTGAGTCAGCCACTAGGCCATCAGCTGGACCCCTGAAGTTAGCATCTTCTGCATCTTCCATTCCGGTGCCAGCTGAAGTGTCCACTGATTTCTCTGTCTTTACTGAAACAGATGTGGCCTGATGAAAAGAGACCTGTGAACACTGTTCACTCTGGATCCATCCTTCAGAAAGGACCCCCAGACTTGTTTGGCCCTCGGTTACTGTTTCTGATTGACAGATAACGTCTTCAGATGTGATTTCTGAAGCTGGTTTGCTACTAGTGACCAGAAGTCCTTGAAGTTCCTTCAAGGCTGCTGTGATGGAGGAGCAAGATTCCTCTGCCGAATCCACAGAGGGCTGACAACTGCCACAGAGACCTACGGCGGGGGAGCAATTCCCGCAGTCTTCATTTGTTCCGGACATTTCCACATTGCCTTCTGGGCGCTGTAAATTCTGAGCGGAAATGGAACTACTCAAGATTTCAGATGAAGGGTTGCATTTTGATGTTTCCATTTCCATCAAGGGATTATCGAAGGTGAGATCAGATGCACCGACGCTCTTGACAATGGCATTCTGATCGCCTGCCGAACTAACAACAGGGAGTGCGGGCTGTTCAACTACATCTACTTCCATAAGTGTCTCTGAATTGGAGCAGTCAGAGCACCCTGAAGGGAGACTGTTCTGTACAGCTGCTCCCAGCCGGTCCACATCCTGCCGCGGACGGTCTCCTTTCATCGCAGCTTCCATATCCACACTTTTTGGTTGATTCTGTTGCCTTTCTCCAAGAAGTTCAAGGTCCCCCTTGTTACAAAGATGTTCTAAGTCATGTGGCACATTCTGTTGTACAACCTCATGCTGTCCATCCCCTGGATCCTCCTGCTGCAGAAGGCCATTCACCTGACTCAGAGTCTGACATTCTGGATGCCAACCCTTTTCACCTAGAAACCTCTGCGGTTCTTGCATCCTAGTCGCTGTGACAGACACTTCCTGTGTTGGGTGGAGAGGGGAGTTGAGGCTCTGGGTGCTTCTTTCAGCAGGAGATGGCTCCAGATCATCTGCGGCAGTGGCTTCCCCTGGTGAATTCTGCCAGGGAATAGCCGGACTCCAGTCTGCTGGAGAAGCAGGACCAGAGAGATCCTGTAGAGGAAGATGCTCTTTTTTTTCAGAGGGTATCTGGAATTCAGTGGTAGCCTTCGAGGCCTTCACAGCGTTCGGTGCGATGCTGTCTGGGTCACTGGGCTTGATGGGGCAGACTGAAGCAGAGACAGAGTGAGCGAGACCCGCGGGATTACCAATCTCAGGACTCTGTCCTGAAGGACGGGTCGGATGGTTAAATCCATCTGAAGTTGGTAACGATGACATTCCCAGTGAGGTAGTTTCTTCACCACTTTTCTCTATATGGAACAAAAGGGAAAGGAAAAGAGATCAGCAGGTTATGAAGGCACTAAATTACCAGAGGACACAAATCTAAACACGATAGGACAGGTCCTTAAACTTGGGTTTGCTTATATTCACAAACTTGCACAAGAACCATTCCCACTGTGGTAGACAATTTAACATCACAGCATGAAAATAAGAGTAGGAATGTTCTTATTAAGAGATGCATAGTGCAACCAGTATTTCAAGTATCATTAATAAACATACACATGATGGCTGGTTTGTGCTCAAGACTGAAGGCCATTTCAGTCCCTTTACTCTTAGTGAGTTCTTTCCCCAGTGCGTTCTCCACCACTTGTCCTAAAATCACTGGGGGGTTTGTTAAGCACGCAGACTCTGGGACACTTTCTTGGGAGTAAACCATAGGAACTTGCATTTCCAATGAGCTCCTCCGGTAATTCTTAAGCACATTACAAATTCTGAAGCTCTCCGAGTAGAATGATTCTCATGCCAACTACTTTCAGTGAGGTTGTAAATGAGAAGTCTAAACCAGACATATCATCTGGGTCAGAGCAGGAATTATAGAGAGAAAGAAGAATGTAATGCTTGGGGATCTCCAGAAGACAGAAAGGTAAACATTTTATTTATTTTTATCCAAACTTCCCCAAAATAATAAAACTATGTGAGCATTAATTGGGAGAACAAAAGTAAAGCTAGAGACCAAACAGATGTTAAGTCCCAATTATCTTACCAAATAAAAAGATTATCAGTTACTTTTATCACAGGAACATAGAACTAAGTAAGAACATTTAAGTATGTTAAGGGCAAGGGAGTAGGGGTGGAGGTAGCTGGAGGGAGAGTTTTCAATAGGCAATGACGATAGACCCATTGTAGCTCTGACCAAGTCTCACAAGGCGGCAGGGTTCAACATTACCTCAGTGTGAACATGCTGTCATGAAACATAGGTTCCAGCTCTCTTTTTGCCACTGATAAGTTAAAAACTGTCTTCTATGCAGTTACCACACAATCTTCAAAAGTCAAAGGCTAGTAACAAAATGACTGCACAATACAATCTATTAGGGCAGATGCAACTCAGTTGCTTCATGCTCATCGTTAGTGTCCAACAAGGGGGCTTGATCTTGACTTAAGAAGTCATGAAGCAATGCGGTTCCAGTTCAAATGGTTCTAGATCATTCTGACACAACACTGGTTAACAGCACGAGACGATGAAGCACTATGCCAGGGAGGGACAGGCTTCTATGAAACAGTTTTTCTTATAGTTTAGGGGCAAACAGCAAAATAGCATTTATCTCAGTGCAAGCCATATCCCTTAGAGTCTGAAACCAGTTATTAGTTTTACTTGTCAATCTCTAAGGCCGACTCTGAAAAGATTCAATGTTGAGTTACTGTGAACAGGAAAGACGCATTATAGTGAAATATCCATGCCAACAGCATGGCTGGGGCAGAATGATAATGATCTTCGGGCAACTGATAACAATTTTAACAACCGGGTGAGGTCAAGGTGAACAGAGCCTGAGTGTATTTTGTACTCACTATGAAAGCAGCATACAGTCCGCCTGTAGCTGAAAGGGTCAGTTCCATTGGCCTAAGTCCTAAATGCAGGGGAGGATGGGTCAGAACCATCAGATAGGAGAAGATGATGAGGACAATGGATATTAAGAATAATTACACCATGCCTGCTTTTAACCCAGCCTTTCAAGAAAAAGAAAGAAGAAATTAAGTCCCATGTATCTCATTACAACCAGCCTGCGAATCCCTATCAAGTCTGAGGTTGATAGTTTAAAAGACCGATTTTCCTTCTCTTGATATATCCGCCAATGTGCTCAGGCTGACAACGGCCACGTTCACACTGCAGGGAAATAGAGGAAGGGTGGGGAAATCAGTCCGGCCAGGGAGAGGCAAAAGCAGGGTCTCAGCTCTTATTGCTGGGAGTGTAAAATGCCAGTCCCACCTTTATTACTGACTGTAACCCTGCACAAGTCATCTGGCCTGTTTCTATCTCTTCTTCAACAGCATGAAAATTTCTACCGCTCCACAGCTGCAGGCAGCTGTGTGCAGCCATGTGCAAAAAGAACTGCCAGTTTTTCACGAAATCCCTAACAGACTAGCTATCCAACAAAAGGCTGGGAGGCTGACATTCTTGATTTGACAGTCACAATGGTCAGTCAGATGGACACTGCTTTTCTGGGATTTCCCCCATGGACTGTTCTAATAATTGATAAAATTTTAAATAAGAAATTATGTTTAGATGTGTATGTATGCTAACATGCAAACACATACAGGCTAGTTGTAACCAGATTCAACAAGGTGAGATGGTGAATGACGGACGCGAAATTCCAAAACTGCTGCAGATAGAGACCACAGACGACTGATGGAAGGCTTAGGCAGGGTCTATAAATACCTGGTCTGGGGCCCACTCCAGCTGCAGTACACACACACTACATGCATCATGGCTTCTGACGCTCTGTTTGAATTAGGAAACAGACAAGCAAACTCGGGTTAACAATGCAAACCACACAGCATGCGGGTTATAGTCTCCATTCCTCGGCCATCTTTAACCTCAGGAACTGGCAGTCAAAGCTGGGGAATGTTTCCGTAGTTTGGACATCAGAAGAATTTTCCCACAATACATAAAGTAATGTGTCCACTTCAACAGATTTTTACTAGAACTTGGAAAGAATTAATTTACACACAGAAAATTCATGGGCAAACACGTCAGACAGGTGAGAGAGGTAGGCCCATGCACAGAATTACGTGACATGGACACCCTCTATGGAGTACAGGGTAAGTGAACACACATGACGTCACTTTCCAAATTCCCTTCTCAGTTGAGACTTATTTTTAGAAGAAATACAAACCAAACATGATTACCTAGCTCGACTGAACTTCTTTATCTTTTAACCAGTTTGTAGAAAACAGATCAGATACAGCTCTTATTCGGAATTATTTTTTCAGAGAAAAGATCAATATTTTGATAATGAGAAGCCGCCAAGGAAGCAGTTTCTAGCAAAAATATTTTCACCTTTTATGTCCAGAGTTTTAATTTTGATGATACTGGGAAGTCAATGTCTCAAACAAATAGAACCTCATGTTGTAGAATTACCTCATTACTTCAACATTACACACAGCACAAGCCAATACGCATCAGCAACAAAAAATCACATGGGTAAAGAGCCATTTCCATTTAATCATTTAAAGTGGCTACAACTTCACTATCTGAAAACATCTGTGGTTTCTATTTTAATCTCCTAAGCTTTTTAATAAAAGGTAATTACCCAAAGAGGGTAACTGTTATTAGTTTAGATAGCACTGCTACCACCAGCTAGTGTTTCTTAAATAAAAGCACCAAAACCGTGGGGACAAAGACAGAGGTTTCAAAAAATGATAATATATTCGTTTATTTTTAAAAAATATATATTTTATTGATTTTTTACAAAGAGAAAGAGAGAGGGATAGAGTTAGAAACATCGATGAGAGAATCATCGATCAGCTGCCTCTTGCATACCCCCTACTGGGGATGTGCCCGCAACTAATGTACATGCCCTTGACAGGAATCGAACCCGGGACCTTTTAGTCCGCAGGCCAATGCTCTATCCACTGAGCCAAACCGGTTTCGGCTCTTCTAGTTTATTAATACAGAGTATTATGACTAAGCTGACAAGTTAACTAAGAAAATGTGAAACATTCTAAGTAGGTATGTCAATCTCTTTCAATTTTGCCTTGCAGGTAAGATTAAAATTGAATTTGCCCTGGCTGGATGGCCTAGTTGGCTAGTGTCATCCTGTACACCAAAGGGTGTGCGGGTCGATTCTGGGTCAGGGCACATACTCAGGTCTCGGGTTCAATCCCGGACAGGGGTGCACAGGGAACGCAACTGATCAATGTTTCACTTTCACATGGATTTCTCTCTCTCTCTCTCTCAAATCAATAGAAACATCTCCTTGGGTGAGGATAAAAAAACACAAATTTTTCTCAGTATAGTTGCTCAAAATCCTCCCTTTCCTACAAAATACTTAAGTCACATTTAAAACTGTAGTCTGTATGTAAATCTGAACCATAAGGTAGACTGTGAACAAGGCTATTTGCTCGGAAGTCTCCATTTGCTACTCATGTCCATTGGAGGGAGGTTCAAGACTGACCCACTGGGTGTCCTCCAGTGACAGACAAATCTGCCTGCTTATTTTTAAAGCTCTTAACTTTTTTGTCTTTAGAAGAAAGCTAGTCCCTGAACTTGTAGATCCAATATTGAAAAATGCAACATGTTATACTAGGCACTGATGAATAATTATAACTCAAGACTTTAAAATAACCCAAATTTAAAAGTTAATTCTCTTCGGCTTCTAGAAAATGCACCCCAGTCAATTATTCATGGGTTTCAGCAAAACCATGCCTCTCCATTTTACCCAGAAACTTGGCTTGGACTTTAGGTTGAAAATGGGCTACAACAATTCAGACTTAGAAAAAACACACATATTAGGTGACTTCATTTCAATAGCTCACATCCTGTTCCAACTGGCTCACTACTGTGACCTCACTGACGGCATAATCCTATATGCTGACTGACGCTCAATGATGCTTCTCATTGTTGGTTCCTTTGGTGGCAGCGTGTTTAGTCGATAAAAAAAGGTTTGGCTGCTCAGTCACAGAGACAATGCCTACGAAAACGGGCCTACAAAAAAGGAAAGAAATCTTCAGGGAGATACTGTTGGATGCAAAAGGAAGTGTCTTCTTTAGGAAAAAAATACAAGGTTTTTCAGGAAGCCTTCCAAAACGTGCCTAAGCCAACAGCTCCCACTCTGCTTCCACAGAGTTCTTGGCCCTGGAAACACCACGTTTTGTCTGCTGAGCTGAGAGACAGAGGTGGTAAGAGGACAGAAACACACCTGACAGGACGATGAGACCGATCACAACCTGGAAAGGTCCCTATCCTCTAAAGCTCAACTGCCAGTGAGAGGTTACGCATTCAAGAGCCCGGCACTGCAATACCTGCATCCTGTACGGACTTCTGAAGGGCTTCTGCTAATTCTCGGTCTGCGATCTCCTCGGGCCGCAGCGCCTCCTCCCGCCCGGCCCCGTAGGCCAGCCGGGCACACTCGGGGAGCTCTGCCTCGGGGAGGAAGGTGGTCTGGGAGCCTGTGGTGCCGATCACGAGGACGTTTTTCTTGAGGTCAATGGAACACTTAGGAGGAAGAAACCAAAGGCAGATGATAGCAGATAAAACACCATGCAGGAAAATCATGATCCTGAATTTAAAACTCATTCACACAGACCAACATGGACAGAGACAGAGATGGTTCCAAACAACTTTGCCTAAAAGCATTTAAGCTTTAACCTAGGTGACAGTTAATTTAGATTTGTTTAATTTAGTTAATAGCAGAATAATCTCTACAGAATACAGTTGACACTTATTTGTCTAACACAATATATTCACTTCTCAATTTAAATGTAATACATGTTCATTGTGCAAATATGGGAAAATGCCAGGCATAACCAATGGCCCCACCTTTTACTTTTACAAACATGTGACTTTTTAAAATAAAACGGAGACATATTGTTTATAGTTTTACATTTTGTTTTTTTTACATATACAGCTTATATTTAAACTGTGTACTAATGGTCTCAAAAGTGATCTAAAGGAAAGGCAATCTATATAAAAAACTCTAATTTATTCCATTCTTTGTGTATTTTTATAATTAATTAACACAGGGCAATCACATATATGCTTTATATCTGTAATTGGAGATATCATGCCAGTGGTCGGCAAACTCATTAGTCAACAGAGCCAAATATAAACAGTACAACAATTGAAATTTCTTTTGAGAGCCAAATTGTTTAACTTAAACTTCTTCTAATGCCACTTCTTCAAAATAGACTCGCCCAGGCCGTGGTCTTTTGTGGAAGAGCCACACTCATGGGGCCAAAGAGCCACATGTGGCTCACGAGCCACAGTTTGCCGACCACAGGTCTATACCATAACTAAAAAAAATAAGAAAAGACAGCGACAATAAAATAGGTTTTATTTATACATGCATTCACTCATTCCTTTTACTTAAAAGTCTGCACACTGAACTTAGTATTAAAAGAATTTTATTTTATTTTATTTATTTTTTTTAATATATTTTATTGATTTTGTACAGAGAGGAAGGGAGAGAGATAGAGAGCTAGAAACATCGATGAGAGAGAGTCATCGATCATCTGCCTCCTGCACACCCCCCACCGGGGACATGCCCGCAACCAAGGTACATGCCCTTGACCGGAATCGAACCCGGGACCCTTCAGTCCCCAAGCCGACGCTCTATCCGGTCTCGGCAGTATTAAAAGAATTTTAAATAGTGACAAAAATACTGGCTAGATATAAAACCTTGTTGTGAAAAATTTTACTACCCAGTAGACACTAATTGCTTTTTCACTGAGAGCTATTTATCTTTAAACACATGATTAGGCTTTGGAGTAGAAATATAAATATCACTGTGAATGAATACAGTGACAAATCCCTCTTTCAGTACTAAACAAACATTTCCATTCCCAATAGCTACAGCTTCTCCCTTAATCCCGAAGCTCTTCTTCCCAAGGATCGTTCGACCAGATACTAAGGAATCTGCTAAACTCGCACTGGATACAACCATCACCGTGCGGTACTCACACTTCCTACAAACCCATCCAAAAACTACTTGGGCTCTAATCGGAAACTACACATTACACAAGGGAACGAAAGCCCATGTTAATATCAAAACAGATGGGAAGATTTAACACACTGTGGACGGATCACAAGAATTCTCATTTCATATTACACAGTGGTTTACAAAGTATCATGCTTTAGAAAGACATTAACTTGTAAGAACAAGTAATAAGTAACTTCAAAATACAATGGGCATTTAATTCGAAAGTGTGCCTTCAACATTTATAAAAAACATTTTTTGTATTTGTTCAACAGAAACTTATCTGGCCACTGGGTAAAGCTAGCAATAAAACTACTGGTTTGCAACGTTTTTAAGATTCAGAGATTTCACAAAAGACTCTATTCCTCCTTATACATCATTTCAAACCTGTATGACACTATCATCAATTAAAGACCTTTTCAGCTTCTAAGAGCCTGCTTCTGAGTTTTCCAGTGCACACGGCCACGGGTAGTGAAGCAGGAATAACCACAGAACATACAAAGGCCAATGCACAAGCAGGCAGAGCTCTGAGTACCTGGTGCCGCTTCAGCATGTCCAGTCCCAGAAGCATGTCCATGGGCTGCTCCTCAAGGATGGAGAAGGAGCACGGCAGGAAATCGCCCTCGATCTGCACCTGAGCTAAAGCACGTGAAGGAAAGACCAAGTTACTGATTTTTATTCAGAACTCGGACTCAAACTTTGGAAATGTAACTTTCATTCTGTGCCTGGCATCTCCCAATCAGTCAAAACCAAGGCAAAACATGTAAAGAGGGCGAGTATAAAAAGAAAATCCTGTAAGACTAATAAACAGTTTAAAAGCCAATGAAGGCACCAGATGGCAAAGAGGATTAAAAAAAGGGACCAATCCCTCCAATAAACCACTCACTTCCTATACACTTACAAAAGGTTTTCTAGAGGGAAATAAATCTGCACACTCCTTTAAATTAGCCTCCAAAGAGTAAACTGTTTATTGCTGCCTGTGATTATCAAGTTCCTATTTGCCGAACCAGAGACAACACCAAGGCCTGTGTTTGCCTCGACTCTCTCATCAATCTCTCCTTTACTTAATATGTAAGATAAGTGTACTTTGCTATTCGTAAGTATATCTTATAAATAGGAGTGCATGAAACATATGCACAGCATAACGCCTGATAAAACTAACACCCACAAACCTCTCCCCCAAGGTAAGAAATAGAAAACTACGAAGTCTCCGTATGTCCTACTGACACAGCTTATTCTTTGCTTCCTCCCACCCTCCCACCCTCCCACCCTCCCTGGGCTTTGTGTTAATCACTCCCAGCGTTTCTTATAGTTCTTACCAGCTTTGTATGATTTCTAAGCAACATACTGTTAAGTTTTTTTAAAAATATATATATTTTATTGATTTTTTACAGAGAGGAAGAGAGAGGGATAGAGAGTTAGAAATATCGATGAGTGAGAATCATCGATCAGCTGCCTCTTGCACACCCCCTACTGGGGATGTACCCGTAACCAAGGTACATGCCCTTGACCGGAATCGGACCTGGGACCTTCCAGTCTGCAGGCTGATGTTCTAGTCACTGAACCAAACCGGTTTCGGCCATACTGTTAAAAGTTTTGTGTTTTTAAACTATGACCTGCTCTTTTACTCAAAAAATATTTTGAGATACTTGGTCCCTGTAGGTGCCCATGAGGAAGTCTTTTGTTTTACATCACTTCTTGGAGTACTGCCATGTCTCACACTCCACTCCTACGGGCCTTTCTGGGTGCTTCGTTTCTGCCCACTTGCACACTTCTGTACGTGTGCTGCTGTGCCACGAGTTCTTCTAAGGCCCAGTCTAAGAAGTGGAATCACAGGGTTCCACTAGGCTCAACGTTGCTTGGTGATGCTGAATCATTTCTAAGAATGTTTCCAGCAGTGCATGAAAGTTCTCATTGCTCCACATTCTCACCAACATTCAGAATGATTAGACTGAAAATTTTGCTAAATGTGGCAGTAATTTTGAATTTCCCTGGTTAAAAAGGAGGGTAAGCCACTTATCATATATAGCACTTATTAACCGCATCGGTTTCCTCTGAAAGTATGTGATTTTTAATACTGTCTTCCTTATGGAGTTGGAGGATTAACAAACACAGAATATGTGTATTCTGAATATGCATTATTTATTAATTATATGCATTACTAAAATCCTTTCCTAGTTTGTTTGTTAACTTTTTTGTCTTTTGATGAAAGGTTCTTAATCTTAATGTGGCTGAATTTATCAAATAATTTTCTTCCTATTTATGAAAGAACCTCTTCCCTATGCAAGATATCCTCCTCCATTTTCTTCTAAAAGCTTTTTTTAATTGATTTTTTATTGTCTAAAGTCTTACATATATTTCCCTTTCCCACAACTGATCCCCCCAAGCCATGCCCCCCTTCTTCTAAAAGCTTTGACTCTGACTTACAGGGGCCAGGGCTACCCACAGCTTTTATCTGAGCAATATTGCTCTTATCTAGCAGTTTCCTCCCATGCTTAGTTCAACTTTCAGTTCCAGTGGAATCTGAAACAGTGTAGGTCTTTTGTTTTTACTCCTCACGGATATGCTGAGAGAAGGGAAAGAGAAACATCATCAATTGGTTGCCTTCCGTGTGTGCCCTGACCCTCTGACCGGGGATCTAACCTGAAACCAGGGATGTGCCCTAACCAGGAATTAAACCAGTTGAGCCACTCTGGTCGGGACATCGAAGTCTTTAATCAACTTTGAGTTAACTTTTGGGCGTGATATAAAAAGCCCATATAAAATCTAAAATTAGCACATCCTCCCTCTCTCTCTCTCTCTCTCTCTCACACACACACACCCTCCTGGAATTTAGATATATTAGCAAATCTTTTGTTAGTAAATCTCTCTTTATTGTTAAGTTCTTCATGCTGATCAGACGCAAAGTTGCAAAACAGTATAACTTGTCCACCCACAAGGAAGGACATAGGGGCTGGTATCCACGTTATCTCCTATTATCCTCTCACTTAAAACTGAAAAACCAGAGACGTCAGGCCCTGAAGCAACCAATTTGTGATATTCCTCCTCAATTTACATTCTGTGTGTAGGAAAGCATATGAGAGTAAGGTATTTAAATAATCTTATACAAGTCAATAAGAGAAAATAAGACTAATAAATAGACATATATTTAAAAAGAAAATAGAAACTTGACTTGCAATGAAAGAAAAGTAACAGCCGGGACCGGTTTGGCTCAATGGATAGAGCGTCGGCTTGGGGATCGAAAGGTCCCGGGTTCGATTCCAGTCAAGGGCATGTGCCTTGGTTGCGGGCACATCCCCAGTAGGGGGTGTGCAGGAGGCAGCTGATCGATGACTCTCTCTCATCGATGTTTCTAACTCTCTATCTCTCTCCCTTCCTCTCTGTACAAAAATCAATAAAATATATATATATAAAAAAAAAAAAAAAAGAAAGAAAAGTAACAGTAAGAAACCACTTTATCTGCAAATTAAAGGAGTTAAAATTAACAATACTTGATTGTACAAGAACACGGGATGAACATTCATTTATTCATTCAATTAGCAATAACCACACCTCGGATAAACCTCATTGGCTATGATATTGCACCTGTGCAAAGTTGAGGTGAATATTCATTCAGGGCTGGGGAAACCAGATTGGTACCAGTTAACAAGGGTTTTAAAGTATTTATAACCTTTGATGCAGTACTGACAGGAACCTTGACTAAGGAAAAACACCAGTGTACTACATAAAAATCCAATGCCATGTTACAATGACAAAATATTGGATAAAAATATATCCCAAAAATTTACCACTAAACCTATGACTGTTACTCATTTACTTAATGATACTTATGAAATTTATAGTAACATTTGAGAAATGGTACAACTGTTAATTTTTCTAAAAGCAGAGGATAGCTCTAACCGGTCTGGCTCAGTGGATAGAGCATCGGCCTGCGAACTGAAGGGTCCCAGGTTTGATTCCAGTCAAGGGCATGTACCTTGGTTGTGGGCACATACCCAGGAGGGAGTGTGCAGGAGGCGGCTAATCAATGTTTCTCTCTCGCTGATGTTTCTAACTATACCTCTCCCTCCCTGTAAAAAAAAAAATCAATAAAATATACAAAAAAGCAGAGGATAAAATTCTATTTGCAGTATCCTATGACTATTCTTTACAAGAAAAAAACACATGGAAACAAGATAAAAAAGAGGCATGTCCAAGTGCTATTAATGGCTGATTCTCACCTAAAAGGATTTAAGATATTTTGGCTTCTTTTCACATTTCTATATTTTAAAAATACTCTGCCAGCATAAAATTACCTATTTTGAGGTGAATATTCATTCAGGGCTGGGGAAACCAGATTGGTACCAGTTAACAAGGGTCTTAAAGAATTTATAACCTTTGATGTTATAAATACCTTAAGACCCTTGTTAACTAGGTCAAAAATAATGATAAGAGAGAAGTGAAACACAATTTTGGAACTAGAAAGCAGATGACAGGAAGGAAAACTAAGAAGCAACCCAATTAACACCCCAGACCTCCCCAGAGGCTGACGCGCTGGTGGAAACAAGCACCTCTGAAAACAGGGGTGAAGGCAGGTCCAGAGCAGAGAGACTCGCTGAAGGTCTATGCAGGCACTGTTAGATCTTGGGGTCCTCTCCTGCATCTGCTCAGCCAGGTGGCTAAGTACCTCCCTCTACCTCAAAAGCGGGCCTGCGGGGTTTTTCTCATGAGGGTGAAACAGAGGCTCTCAAATAGATGGACATGAGGAAGACAGGGACACCACACAAGCACCTAATGAAGACCCAGGGGATTAAATGAAAGCTCACTGAGACTCAACTTCTAGATGACCCACAACCGCCATGGCTGCCCACCCAAGTAATCCTCCCAGTAGCCTTTTGGTGTTCCACTCTTCAGTATGAACAGGTGCCAAGGATCACCAGACATCTGAGAAAACTATCTAACATGAAAGACAAACAACAACAAAACCCCACAAAAAATAAAAAACAGAAAGGCTGGAGGGCAAAGCTGAGGAAATCTCACCCAAGCCCCCCAGGGCACAAGGAAAGGAAACAGAAAACTGCAGAACAAGCCCAGGACAGAGACCATCCTCCCTGAATTACAGACACCCTGGAGGGGGAAGTCATTCTCACACTGAAAGGCACTCAGCACAATAAATGGAGAGAGCCATACCCAAGTACATCATTGTGAAGTTTCAAAACACTGAGGTCAAATAAGATTCTACAATCTTCAGAAAAGGAAATCTTTCACATAAAGGATCAAGGATCAGATCAGCAGCCAGCTTTTCCACAGCGATACTATCAAAAAATTGTGGAAGAAAATGATTTCCAACTTAGCGGGACTGGTGAAATGGAGGGGGAAAAGTCATGTTCTCATTTTCAAGGACTCAATTTATTACCATGCACTTTTTTCCAGGAAGTTACTGGAAGATGTGCTCTTATAAAGTTAGGAGCAAATTGAAAAGAGGGACGACACGATTTTCATGTAGTCCAACATCAGACCAACACCAGACCACGGAAACAGGAACCCTGGGAACTCAGCCAACGGTGATTCCAAAACAGCAGCATGAAGCAGCCCAGGTTCTGAAAAAGCTTCGTCAATGGGATGGACTGCAGCAAGGACATATACACAACCAGGGAAGCGTTTGGGATGAATGACACACCAAAAAACAAATGACAAAAAAAGAAAAAAGAGAGATAGAGAGAGAATTATTAATTCCAAGAAAAGGTAAAGCAATTATTTTCAACTGAATAGAAAAGAGAGAAGTACATAGGGCCTGATGTTCTTTTTGCCACCTGCTAATATGCACGTATGTATATGACTTCACTACAGAGTTTAAATTTCTGTGAGGCTTGCTGGATCAGATGTCCTGTCCAAGAGAAAAGTGTTTGAAGTTCACTGCTCTGCCAAGCCTCCCAGTGCCTTTCACTCACCTAGATGCACCCTTCCAATGATCTTCTGGGTGCCCACTCCTTTGGCGATCCCAGCCCACCGACGATCCACCAGCCTCATTATGTTACACCTTTCCGCACAAGCTTGACTCATAATAGTCATCTGGGCACCTGGAGGTGGAGGGAAAGATCAGATAATAAAGACAAAACCCACATTTGTGTTACGATAAAAAATGCAGCACTAAGAACAGAGCAAAGCAAGGATCCCCCAGGCCTTTTCTCTTATTTAACTATTTCTTTAGTTGATTTTTTAGAGAGAGGAAAAGAGAAACATCAATGAGGGAGAAACATCATCGTCTGCCTTCAGCATTCCCCATTCTGGGGATCAAGCCTGCAATAGCGACATGTGCCCGATGGGCAACTGAACCAGCGCTTCAGGGCTACCCAAGGCTCTTATCTGTGCAACATTGTTCCCACCTAGCGGTTTCCTGCCTGGGCTCAGTTCAAGTTTCAGTTCCACAGTGGAATCTGAAACAGTGTAGAAACTTGACATTGAGAGGAAGAATATTTTGTTTAAATGTAATTATTAAATGATACTTAAAAACTTTACCAACAGGAAGCAAAACTACGTGAAAAGGATTTCCAAAGAGTCAAAATGAATACACACAGAAATGCTCACCAAGTCCTACTTTACATTCAGATGCGTTCCACAAAGCTTCTAGACATCTCGCCAAATTATTGCCACTCCCGATTTTGGGACTCTAATTTACCAGTTAAAAAGTACACCATGCAGTTTCTCAAAAAACTGGGCGTGAACTCCCTATTGTCTGCTCCAGCAGTCAGACCCTCTTCCCGCCCAGGAAGCGGGCAGTGAGGGACTTTTCTCCTGCAGTGACATGTACTCGGCCCAGCTGGAGCTGGCCTGGGAAAGACACTCTTATCATCTTTACCCACAGTGCTTATTTCTCCCACCGACCCTAGTTCCCACTCCTGTGTCGGACATTTCTATTTCAAAGCCAACAGGTATAAAACTGTTTCTCCCCAAATAATTCTCGTTGGATTTCTCTTCCTGCCAACTGAATATTTTCTTGCAATAATAAAACGTGGGCATCGTTCACTTTTGACTGCTTCTAGCCTTTCCCCACTTTCAAACTCTGGTCCAGCCCTGTTAACAAGTTCTGTGCACTTGCTATTTCTGATGCGCCTTCTTCCAACCACAGCAGCGAGCTAGCTCACACTCCACCCCATTGCTAGTGGGCCGTCTCTCTGCTTTCCAACCTCTCTGTGGATGTATAACATTAAAGAATTCTCAGTGGCACAGAGTTCTCCAGATCTGCCACACTGCCTCTGTCTTGCTATTTATCACCTTCTTCAGATCACTTAATTCATCTGCTCGAAGATCCTCATTGGCTCCTATTCCTTATAAGACCAACTTCAAACCACATCCAGGCTCAGAACCCCCCTCGTCCAGGCCAAACCTTTTCCAGCTGCTGGAGACGGAACACTTCATGTTGAAACCTAATCCCCAATGCAATGATGCAGAGCGGCAGGGCCTTAGGGAGGGGATTAGATCGCTGGAGCGGAGCTCTCCTGAGTAGGATTCATGCCTCCATGAGAGCTCAGAGAGCTCCCTCACCGCTCCCACCATGTGAGGACCTAGGGAGAACACTGCCCTCTATGGACTAGGAATCAGACACCAACCTTCCAGGGCCTTGATCTTGGACTTCCCAGCCTCCCGAACTGGGAAATAAATGTGTTGGACATAAGCCACCCAGTTTATGGCATTCTGTTATGGCAGCCCAAACAGACTCAGACGCCAGACTTGTGTTCCAAATGCTCCACACCTTGTACTTAACCAGAGGGGTGTGTTCCCTCTGACCCTCTGGGAGAGTGCCCCTCCCCTGCGTTCACTTTCTAATTGTGCTGATGCTTTAGGCCCGGTCCAAGGCCCACATCCCCACCAACCACCTATGCTTTCCCCGCGATGTCTCCTCATACTCAATCCCAACCCTTCCTGCTCACGTTGCTCATCAAGGCATCTCACACCACACAGGCACTGGAAGGTCTTGGCATTTGAAGGCTGGAGTCAAGAAAGCCCAGAAATAATGAAAAAAAAAAAAAAAAAAAGTTTGGGAAGGCGATTTTCTTTTGTATTCCTCCCTCCCCATTTTACTCAAGAACTAGTTACTGATGTACAGGAAGCAACCCCAGGACGGGAAGGGTCACTTTTACTGCACTCCTGCCTCTTTGCAAGCCTCAGCTCCAAGTCCACTCCTCTGCCCACGGAGACAGCTCAGGTCAAATGGCCTCTTTCGAACCACACCTGAGGCGAAGTATCCCGGTCAGTGAGAATGCGGTTTCTATATTCGTCCAACATGCACCAGATTTTTACACAGTGCCTGAGTTCTGGCACCAACCAGACCAGGGGCTGAATCCAAGATCTGCCATTCGTGAACTCTGGACCCCTGGGAGAATGACTTCCCCTCTCTGTGTCTAAGTTTCCTCCCCTAGAAAACAGGGGTAACAGTAGAACGCAGTTCATGGGGGGCATGCTGAGAATTAAGTGAAAGTGAATCAACTGATACATATTAAGCACCTTAGGTAACTTAGCATGAAGCATGGTGCTTACCATACAGAAAGGGCTCAATAAATACCAGTGTCAGATTAGGGTCTCCTATAGGTATTTGTCTCTCTCGCTAACAGGAGCCCGTGAAGCACCAGTTAGTAAGTCTTACCACCTCCCCCCCAAGCACTCAGCACAAGGTCCTGTACACAGCATTCAACAGTTTTAAAAACTTAAATAATCAGCAGTTAACTTCTCCCAGGACTATATGCATCTCAGTATAAACTATTTCCAATAGTTGGAATGTGCTCAAATACTTGTGGATGAACAAATGGGAGGAAAAGTGCCCGGCTGGTGTGGCTCAGTGGTAGAGCACTGACCTGTGAACCAAGGGGCCACAGTTCAATTCCCAGTCAGGGCACACGCCCGGATTGCGGGCTCAATCCCCAGTGTGTGGCAGGCAGGAGGCAGTCAATTGGTGGTTCTCTCTCATCCCTGATGTTTCTCTCTCTCTTTTCTCCCTTCCTCTCTAAAATCAATAAAAATATGTATTACAAAAAACACAACAACAACAACAAAAAAGAAATGGAGGAAAAGTTAACTTGGGCAGGAGCTTTTAGTACTCTAGGAAGTCATTCCCACAAGGCCGCTGTCACACCCACATGATACTGCTTGTGTGTGGTCACTCAAAAAGCAAAGCTGTTACTAAGAGATAAGGTGACAGTTAGTACAGGGATATTCTGAATCTTCCAGTGCAAAACTCCCTGCCCCCCTACCTGGCTGTTCTTTCTTCTTTCAGGGCAAGAACCACGCCCTGCACCCCACACTCCTCATTGCTCCTGGCCAAGTGATGGCACACTGAGGAGGCAGAAATACGGGTTTGACCTACACTATACAGCTCCTTCTTTTTTAAAAACATATTTCTTTATTGATTTCAGAGAGGAAGGGAGAAGAGACAGAAATATCAATGAGAGAAACACTGATCAGCTGCCTCTTGCACGCCCCCTCCTGGGGATCGAGCCTGTAACCTGGGCATGTGCCCTTGGCCAGAATCGAACCTGGAACCCAGTCCGCAGGCCCAAAACTGGCTAGGGATACACAGCTCCTTCTTTAGTAGATTCTTATTCTAAACTTATTCAAATGATTCCCCAATTCCTTAGAGGTATCCTAGAATTCAGGATGCCAACTAAGGGGAGCAGGAAGATAAAGGAGACACTGAAAATATAAAACTGGCGAAGAAATTATTTAAAAAATAAGCCTATCACAAACAAGAAGAGATGGGAAGTGAAATAGCCCCCAGGTTTGCTGGTGAGCAGTCCAGAGGACGAACGCCACCTTTAAGGACCCCGGGGTCTCTCCTTCTCCCGGTGTCAAGTCAGAACGTTTGCTGGAGACAAAGATACGAAGGACAGAGACGTCACCTGAGTCAACAAAGGCTTTCACAGGATGTCCATTCACTTTGCAGTTAATATAAAGCATCACTACTTGGCCAAAACTCTCCGGAGCCTCCTCCATAGCTATGGTCATGTTTTCCTCAATGTTCTGTTGCCTGTAACAAACCAAAACCAGGGACACTAAGAGCATTACTTCCATGAAGAAAGATCTGTTTCAAAGTCACCATATTAAAACAGATCTGTGCATATCTTTTGCCCCAGCTATAGCAGCTGAGTCACTGAAATGGAAATTGGTCCTTTACCAAGCAGTCTGTGATTTAGGAGGAGGCAGTGAGATACACAGTTAGCAGAAAATTAAAGGCATACAAATTACCCTCATGTAAAATGACTATGTTTGTTCCCTTTACAAGCTCAGAAACAGGAAAAGAAACTTCTGGAGAGTAAGGGTCACAACCTTTTTTATCCTATAGGGGTGTCGAACTCAATCAGAGAAGGGGCCAAAATCTAAAATCCAGCCTAAATCGCGGGCCGAATGGTTTACTGAACAGTCATAAACTGTCATTGTGATGGAAACGCAGCGGAGTGCAGTGATGACAGCGCGGTGCGGGCCACATTGCAAGGCCTGGCGGGACAGATTTGGCCCGCGGGCCTTGTGTTTGACACGTGTGCTATAGAATGTTAAAATTTCATGAGTGCTCTAATTTTAACTGAGGAGTTACTGGGTGTCTGGGTACATTTCCTAGGTCCAGGGCATTGAAAATTGTTTGCAAATACAATACCTATGTATTAACTGCTTGTTGTTGCATCTGCTGCTTAATCTCTAAGACTGGGTTTTCTGCCGAAGCCGGTTTGGCTCAGTGGTAGAGCGTCAGTCTGCGGACTGAAAGGTCCCGGGTTCGATTCTGGTCAAGGGCATGTACCTTGGTTGCGGGCACATCCCCCGGTAGGGGGTGTGCAAGAGGAAGCTGGTCGATGTTTCTCTCTCATCAACATTTCTGGCTATCTCTCTCCCTTTCTCTCTGTTAAAAAATCAATAAAATATATTAAAAAAAAAAGACTGGGTTTTCTAATCTGCAAAAATGAGGATAGTTTATTCCTATTACAGGATGTTTAAAAAAAAAAAAACAACTCAAAAAAGATCCCTCTATCTATCACTTAGGAAACTACTAATATATACACATATAAATCATTGTTCACCTGGTCATCAAATAATTTCCTCTAAAATTGAACATTCTAATTCTTACATGAGAAAAGCACATAAAAGGGAGTTCCAGCTTACTCTAGCATCTCATATCTCCTCCATTCTCAACCTCCTTTTTGAAAAAATAACCAAATAGGACCAACGTTAGTGGAAACTAGGGCAGGGGCTAGGCCACTTACTTGAAGGCTGAGACAGTAACAAAACAAGGCCCAAGGTTTGGACAAGTTACACTGTAAACCAGGCATTATCTCTGCTGTATCTGACCGCCCAGGCAGAACTGAGCACCAGCCATAGAGATAGTGTGGCCTGCAAAGCCTAAACTACTTACTATTTGGCCCTTAATGGGAAGAGTCTGCTGACCCCTGCTCTAAACTATCTGTAGAAACACTCTAGCTCAACTGAACTGATGGTTTTATCGGCCGTTCTCTATTGGAATATTAAACTTCTTATAAAAGCAAAGGCACATTCCTTTAACTTAGGTAAACACGCAAGCTGTTATACCTTCGAGTACACATTCCCTGTACAATCAATGGCGAAACATAAACTTTAACAGGCATTCAATAATTACAGCTTTCTTGTGTGCCGTATTATTAAAGTTAGCAATAGCCTAAAATTAGCTGTGCACTACGAACTCCTGACACTGCAGTGACTCCAAAAACAATGCCAGTTCCTTCGGTATGCTGGGCTCTGTATGTAGACTTTACAGGCACCAGGCTTTCTCCTGGGAAAGAATGTGTGCGTCCCCCATTTCCTGTACCCCACCCGGGGGAGAAACACGAGCCACATGGATAGGCCTCATTTCACTTCTGCTCTTCCAACAGCTCAGCGCCATGGTTAAGCTCCGATGCCTCACCACACTCCCTCCCACACCTCCTGCTTCCTGGGTTGAACATATTCTTGAGAATTATATAAGGTCCCCTTATAGTTGTAATGCAATCTCGTTCTGAGCGCACAAATATCTTCCTATTTCTCTGAGTACATTTAACGAGCGAGACGTTTTTCAAAGATATTCATGAATTCTGATACAATTCCTGATATAATTAATGGGTTCTTACTTAATAAGAACATTAAGTAAATGTTCTTAGGGCTTTCACGTGATTCTAGTGTATAATTTACATTTCTTTGATTTCAAATGCAGTCAGAGAAATAAGAAAGAAGAAAAGCATTATTTAACTTCCTAGTTGTCAGTATAATATAATGACCACTTAGGCTTCATGTAAATAACCAAAGATGATGACAAAACCCCTAAAAGTAGCACTGGTAAAAGTTAGGGTCTTCATATTTATACTAATACCATTACAACAAGCCACAAAAACTGAGACGTGGGTGGTGGTGCTGAGGGGGTAGCAGCTATTAGTTTGACTGAACAACATCTGGCTTGTGGCTAGTCACAGAACCAAGGCTGGCGTTAGCATTATTGTACCTGTTTTAGGAGTAGAGCCCAAGCATCTGCATTTTTAAAAGATTCCAACAAGATTTTAATGCAGCCTCAGGTGGGAACCACATCACTGAATCCTGGGGTCATCTACTGCAGCTGCTTTGGTGACACACTGGGCTAGCCAGGGAGTCTTTACTAAAATTTTAGAGGAGAAAAGTCATTGGTATGGGGTACCTTTGTAATGCTGAATCAAAATGTGAGGAAAATGAGAGTGGGGATGGAGGCAAGGACTGAAGTTACTAGCTTAGGTGCGAAATAAGGAATCTACCTCAAAGCAGGTGCCCCGTCAATACCAGACAGCCTGCAGTTTGGGAGTCTCCATTCGCTAACGCCTGCTGGGTAGGTGGCAGCATCATTACCTTATATCTTCTTCTATTTTGGCCTGAGCTTCGAGATCAAAAGGATCAGCAGAAAAGAGACGAATCCTTTCTTGCTCTCTCCGGGCTCGGTCCTGCTGCTGTTCCACCAGCACCCTAGTGAATTTCTCTACAAAAGGAGGAAAATCTTAAGTACCACCGGATTTCATTCCTTACTAGTACTTTTCCATATGAGACAACTTCTCAAAATATAACTGTAGGAGATGAAGAAAAGATGCCTAAAAAATTATTTTTTGTTTTTTACTCCTTTCTTCCCCTTTTCAATGAATGCATTGGGATGATACTGGTTAACAAAACTGTACAGGTTTCAGGTGCAGAATTCTACAAGATGCCTAAAAATAAATAAGCAATTACATTTACTTTATATTCTCTAAGGCTAGACTATTTCTTCACCTAAATTCAGTGTAAATAAATATTTGGAAAAATCATTTAGTCTTGTAAGAAGTTATCCATCACATTATCTATACTCAGACATAACAACTTCTCGGTTTAAATCTGGAAAATGCTGTGAAGGACCCCGCTTGTCCCTTCCCCTCTGCTCTTGTTATTCTTTTGGCTAGAAATAAAATAGAGTGCTACCACCCCATTTCCTCTTCTGAACTCATTTCCTTTATAATAATCTGCCTCAAAGCCGACAAATTAAATGCAAACTACTGTTAGCCTATCTACATTACCTGATGGGTAATAGACAGGAATATAGTAAAGAGGAAAGATTGCTTACTGTAAGATACATTACAAAAATCACCTTTCATTTTGCTATTTCTTAAATGCGGGTGCATTTAAATGTGCCATCATCATGGTCTTTGACAATTAAATATGCTGCATAAGAAATTAAAGGAATCAAGATACTGGTCTGATGAACTAATACAATAGAGATGAATCTATAATCATTAAGTTGAATGAAAGAAGTCTGACATGAGAGAACATACTGCATGATTCCATTTACATGAGGATCAAATCTAGGCAAAATTAATTTAAGATGATTATCGTATTTGGTAGTCTATAAGAGGAGGAAACTGACCGAAAGAGAACATAATGAAACTTTCTTGAAAGAAATATTCTAGTTCTCAATTGTGTGGTGGATGCAGAAGTCAACCAAAACTCAAACTGTATACGTAAAATCTGCAAATTTCTCTGTAGGTAAATATTACCTCAATTTACAGAATGGTTAAGATATGAGTTATTAAGTATCTGTTATGTTTTAAAATTTAATCAGTACAGTTTCGTAAAATGGGAGAAATTTACAGAGAAAGCCTGACTCATAAAGAGACTAAAAATAAATGTTCTGTGAAGGGAAAGAATGGCTCCAGTACAGCTCCAAACAGACTGTTGGTAACAGCCCTTCATTAAACTCGGGGTGGATGCGAGTAAGGGGGTTCAATCAGCCACACAGGCTGAAGGCCTCAGACCTGCTTCCTGTAACTAACAAGCACCATAGGCTCATTGGTGCTCTCTTTATTGAAGGTCTAACTAAACAGCTTAAATATGGATTATGGATTATGTGCTGCCGAAATAATTAGGAAAAAAAAAAAAAAAAAGAGTAAATGGAAGAGGCTGGTTTAGCTGGATTTCAGGACTCAGTGCAGCCCTAAAATTTTGTCACTACTGTCACTAACTCAGCCTTCAACATTAGTGCTAACTTACCTCTCACAGACCAACTGATATGTTCATAACTCATGTGCCACACTGGGCTGCACACACTAGTGGCTTCCAATTCTCCCGCCTGCTATGATCCACTACCTCAGGTCAGCCTGACAGCCTTTCAGATGAACTTACCAAGATCGCCACTGAGCAGAGCATCTGCCAGAGGCGGGTTGCGTTCCTTCAGCAAGGACAGCTCGTGGGGGTTGGACAGCAACATGTCTCGGAGCAAGGCCGGATTGTCCAAGCCCTGCGGAGACCCAGCCAGTTCTCCGGGAGACGAGCGGGACTGCTGGACCCCGGGTGGCTGCCGCTGCCGGGAGCTCGAGGTGCCGGGCACAGATATACTACGGAAGTCTATTCGGGGTATGTCTGTTGAGGAAGAGTAATTGTTTACTTTAAATGATCCGTGAAAACAAGCCTCTGAAGGAAACAGAACATGTGCTCATACATAGTATGTAGTGTAAGTGGTGATCGCAGATATACTAATGCCCTCTCCCTTTTTTTTAAAAAGAAATATAATTCTTTATTGATTTCAGAGAGGAAGGAAGAGGGAGAGATAGAAACATGAATGATAAGAGAGAATCATTGATTGGCTGCCTCCTGCACACCCCGAACTGGGGATCAAGCCCACAACCCGGGCATGTGCCCCTGGCCGGAATCAAACCCGGGACCCTTCAGTCCTCAGGCCGAAGCTCTATCCACTGAGCCAAACCGGCCAGGACCAAAAGCCTTCTCCCTTGCTCGGGTTTCTCATGTTGACTTTGAATATAAAGACTACAGCCTGAGAGTGAACAGGTAGGAAAAATGCCAGGAAGGTGGCAGGGGGGAGACTATGGTAGAAACATCAAATTTTTGGCTTATAAAATATCACAAAATAGATGTTTTTCTTTTTGTTTTTTAAAAAAGTAAAGCTAGTCTCAAATGTAACTACAAAAATCAATGGGGTTCTTAAGAAAAACCGTGGTCTGCTTTGCAATATGCTTTGAGGACCCTGACAGTCTGGGTAAGGAATACTATATATATCAAGTGCACAGCACAAATGACCGGTGTTAAATTCTACAAGTCTGGGCTGTACATAGCAGTTCTGTGAATTTACACTTCCCTCTGGGCATCACCACTAACTCTCCCAATAGCCCCGGGGAGCTCACAGGTGTAATCATTTACAAGAGAGAAAAACAGAAGAAAAATAATGTGCTCAGGTTCCCAGTGCTGAGTACACTAACAGACATGACAGGTCCCTCACTCCAGGCTGAGCTGACTTACTAAACTAAAAGTAAAATAAAAGGGAGCCTTACACCAAGGACCCGGAAACTGTATGAATCTATTTCTATGAAATATCCAGAATAGGAAAAGACAGAGACAGTTAGTAGACCAATGGTTGCCAGGGCTAGGAGGCTTGAGGGAAGATGAAGAATTACATGCCGAAACCGGTTTGGCTCAGTGGATAGAGCGTCAGCTTGCGGACTGAAAGGTCCCAGGTTCGATTCCAGTCAAGGGCACGTACTTGGTTGCGGGCATATCCCCCAGTGGGGGGTGTGCAAGAGGCAGCTGATCGATGGTTCTCTCTCATCGATGTTTCTAACTCTCTATTCCTCTCTCTTCCTCTCTGTAAAAAAATCAATAAAATATATTAAAAAAAAAAAAAAAGAATTACAGGGCTCCTTAAATTAAAGGGATGAAATGTGCTATAACTGATAGTAGTGATGGTTGCACAGCTCTCAATATACTAAAAATCATCTAATTATATCCTCTAAATGAGAGAATGGTGTGGTATGTGAATGATCTCTTTAAACTATTACTTTAAAAGTTTTATTTTTAAAAGAAGAAACGAGCAGCAGAATGAGGAGCCAGGACTGAATTAATCCACATTTCTCCAATCACACTTGTCGCAAGCCTGGGTTATCCTGAAGCCCTTTGGTCCTTAAGGAGGAGGGAATGATTAAACTTGGGCATAAGGTTTCTGTCTCTTAGCCTGGTCCCACTAGTCACTCAGCTGGAAGTTAGCAGTGTACGTGTATGAACTTCCAACCAATGAAAAGGTGAAAGGAATGCATGATCTAGTGAGGGAAACTATACCAATTAGCAAAACACATAGGGGGGCCCTCTTTGTGGGTTGAGAAATTTTATCTCCAACCCAGTTACAATTATCTTGAGAATCTGTTCACTTTAGAAAAAATTTGAAAACTTGTTTACCTTGTAGACCAGATCCCACTCTCTCCCTCCCCTGGTGGCTCTCTTGTCAACATGGGGCAGTCCAGAAAAACACAGCTATGTTTCCAGAACTAACCATCTCACCCGCTTAATCCAAGAAGACTTGGTTTTTACTGACTGGCATCTCGGAACCACTACTCTTCCTGAAGTTTAACTGCAGCCCCAGGGAGTAATGTCACCCCAGGCTGGGAGGAGCCCCGCCAGCGATCCCTTCTAGCCCAGTTCCAGGCTGAATGGAAGCACTGTGCTCTAAGCTCCAGACTGCATCACCCCGACGCCTATCAGTTGTTACCAACAATTTTAAAACCAAGCGACCGAGAGAACAAACACTGTTTAAAGAAACCCATCAGGATCTGATAGGAAGTGGAGAAAAACTAATACAGCCCATCGAGTAGTTCCACATCAGAACCTTATAATAAACTTTGGTAGATCAAAAACCCCTTTCAGTGCCTGAAGCAACTTACCAGCCCTGTCCCCAACAAACGCTCACACCCCTCACATTCTGCTTTTTATTTCAGGCACACAGCAACCTCTTAATCCCAATGCACAGATTCAAAATTATAAGCACCTACTCTGGGTGGGACCCCTGAGATAGAGTCCTTTCTTCTTTTTACATGACCAACGAAGGTGGTGAGAAAGAACCAGAAGCTAGTGGTTGAGCTGCTTAATGTTCATAAAGTTCAGTATAATGGAAAAGCACCGAGTTTTAATTCCTATGCCTTCCTTATTAGCTATGTAACTTGGAAGACATAATTTAAAATCCGAGTTTCAGCCCTGGCTATTGTGGCTCAAGTGGCTGGAACATCTTCCCTGCACCAAAAGGTGGTGGGTTTAATTCCGTCAGGGAACATTCCCACATTGCAGGTTTGATCCCCGGTCAGGGGATCTGGGAGACAACCGATAGATGTTTCTCCCCCGTTCTCTCTCCCTTCCTCTAAATCAATCAATCAATCAATCAATCAATCAGCCGAGACCGGTTTGGCTGAATGGACAGAGCGTCGGCTTGGGGACTGAAGGGTCCCGGGTTCGATTCCAGTCAAGGGCATGTACCTTGGTTGCGGGCATATCCCCAGTAGGGGGTGTGCAAGAGGCAGCTGATCGATGACTCTCTCTCATCGATATTTCTAACTCTCTATCTCTCTCCCTTCCTCTCTGTAGAAAATCAATAAAATATATATTTTTTAAAAATTAATCAATCAGAGTTTCATCCATTAATGACAGTAAATTATAAAGAAGAATCTCTTCCTTTACATCCGAGTTAGGAGATCACGTGAGTACCTGGCTGACTGCTACTGAACCCCAGACACAAGGTTGCATGTCAGTCAGCAATCAGGCCTGTGGAGCCTCTCAAGTCCTTGCAGGACACAATTATCATCGGTGACAACAGAAGCTACCATTTATTGAGGCTCGCTGTGTGCTGAAGATTTTAAAGCATTATTCTCACATCAATTCTAGGAGTTGAGTTAAAGGAGCAGAGTCAGGATCTGCACCCTAGTATTCTGAATCAAAAGCTAATTCAAAACTCTGCACCACCGCACTATGCTATCCAGTCATGTTTGTGTCAGGAGATGCTAACCCATTCCGAGATGTCTTACTTGGAAACTGTGCTGAAGGTCGAGGGTCCACATTCTCCTTCTGTCGTAAAATCACGACATCTCCATCTTTCAAGCCGTAAGAAGCCAGAGACCTGTGGTTGTCTGTGAGAGGTCTTTCAGCATGGACAATCTACAACCAGAAAAGATGTCACAGTTCAAAGCACTGAGAAGTACCAGGAGCAAAGCAGACAGACCAGGTTTCCTCTTCATCAGATAGTCACTTCCCACGTGGCCCTCCGCCGGTCTCCCATCACACCCGGAATAAAAGCCAGTCCTTCTCACCACCTCCTGGCGCCCTCTGACCTGATCTCACACCTCGATTGCTGTTTCTCAAGTAACGACTTCCTCTCAAGGCCGTTCCACTTGCTTCTCTCTACCCGAGGAATGTTCTTCCCTGTCATTTTTAGGTCTCTGATCAAACATTACCTCTTTTTTAATCACCTTCACTTAACACACATATTTATTTCTTTATTGTCCTCCTGCCCCCACTACAATGTAAACTGCTTGAGGACAAGGACGTTGCTTTGCTTGCCCAATCCCAAATGCCTAGAACAGGACCCGTCAGATAAATAATGCCCAACTATTCGGTGAATTAAAGTCAAACTTCAGGTTTCACTTTGAGCAGAGAGGGAAACGGGCATGATTTACTCTGTTTTGCAAACTAAAATACTATTAAATAATGTGCGTGCTTCCCCTCTCCCCCAGTTTTAGTGAGACAGAACTGACTTAAAAACTGGCATTATTTTTAGATATACACCATGGCTTGATATGCGTATTTTGGGAAATGATCACAATAAATTAACCATCATCCATCACCTCACTTAGCTACAAATTTTCTTCCCTGAGAGAACTTTTAAAATCTACTCTCTTAGTAACTTTCAAATATGTGACACAGTATTAACTTTAGTTACCACACTGAACATTACATCCCAATGTACCCCTTACTTATTTATTTTTTAATCGTCACCCAACCATATGTTCACTGACTTTAGAGAGAGGGAGGGAGGGAAAGAGAGACATTAACTGGTCACCTCTTGTACATGCCGACTGGGGATCAAACCCGCAACCTTTCAGTTTACAGGCCGCTGTGTCCATTTAAAAAATGATCTTGTACACTACCAAGTCTAAAAGGGTCCCAAACACCAACCTTGCTGCATTCTTTCTTCCTTTAAAAACAAAAATATCCCCAAGGTTTTACCGCTCATGTTTGTGAGTGGACGATAAAAGTGGAAGACATTCCAGAAAGAACAATTAAGCAGAGTGGAAAAAAGGAACAGGGATGTACTACTAATAAAAATACTTTTATGCACTGAAACCGGTTTGGCTCAGTGGTAGAGCGTCGGTCTGCGGACTGAAGGGTCCCAGGTTCGATTCCGGTCAAGGGCATGTGCCTGAGTTGCGGGCACATCCCCAGTAGGAGGTGTGCAAGAGGCAGCTGGTCGATGTTTCTCTCTCATCAACGTTTCTAGCTCTCTATATCTCTCCCTTCCTCTCTGTAAAAAATCAATAAAACATATTAAAAAAAAAAAAACTTTTATGGGACTTGGCAAGGTAGCTCAGTTGGTTAAAGCATCGTCCAGATATATCAAGGTTTCAGGTTCAATTCCCAGTCAGGGCACACACAAGAATCAACCAATGAATACATAAATAAGCGGAACAACAAATCAATCGCCCTATGTTCCTCCCTCCCTCCCTCTAAAAACCAATAAATAAAATTAAGAAGATCTATTTGATGATGTGCAAACACTGAAGAAAGCTTCAGAGCATAAAAACAGGTGACACTGTGCTCTGGGAAGAACAGGAACACAGAGGGCAAGCTATAAGTTTCCCGGGAAGGAACATAAAACCTCCCTGCATCACTCTGCTCCAGAGGGACATTCAGACTTTGAAAGGTTTTCTTCCTAACAATTCCCTTTTCACAGGCCACAGGCAGAGAGAGCCTTCAGTTCTGTCCTGGCTCCGACCGGGCCGTCACTCAGCTGGTCCAGGCACCTCACTTCTCATCTGTTCGGCAGGCAGTGGGGCTGGATCATCATTACAGCCGTCTCTTCCGGGCCTCTCTGCTGCACTCCCATTTACAGTGTCTCCTCACAACTCTTACAGCCAAGACTGCCTGACACAGAACCTGAAACACCCAGGATTTACACAGGAGAAACGTGATCTGTCCTATCTGCTCTCACAATTTACACTGAAATGAGGAACAGAATAGGAAACTGAATGTAGCTCCCTCCAACGTAAAAAAGTTCTGGGGATGAGCAAAAAATTGATTTGCAGAGTTTGTAGGTCCAATCATACTTTATAAGTTTTATAGGTAACTAGAAAAGTACTGTTAGTCCCCTTACCTGCAAACCTAAAACACGTTACAACAAATTGCAACTATCACCATCAACCTATTCACACTCCCTTATTTAAGTGTGTATCTCTGAATAAAAAGCACACCGAAATCAATACAGATTGTTTGCAATACAACCCAAGTCCTTCTATAACTTGCAGGATTGCTTGAAAAAAACCACCATAAGCCTGAAGTGACCAGCATCCCAGGTTGAAGTGCACAGCCAGAAAGAAGGGGCGTGCTAAGAGTAAGGCCGGGCAGACACTCTCGAGGTGGCACCACCATTATGAAGCCACACAGTGAAGGTACCAGTGGGCCCACGGTTTACTTCTTAGTTTTCCAGGTTCACAAGTTCAACAGTCGACACATGCTAACTGTACTTATAAGAGAACATTTAATTATCTACAAGGACTCAAAACCAGGAGTCAGAATGCTCCCATCCACAGGACTAGAGTTCTCTTCAGGCTGGAAGTGACACATGGAAAGCCTTATTAAAGAGTAGACAGACAGCTTCCACTGAGAACTTCTACGAAGAGCTAGCATCGTACCAGGTTCTTAGTCGCCCACATAATCCTCATGTCCTCTCATTTAAATCTTATAATTATCCTAAGAAGCAGGTATTATTTGTCTGCCACCTCCTCCCCCCCCCTTTTTTTTTGCAGTTAATTTTCATGTATTTTTCCCCCTTGATAAATACTATATAGTCATTATAGAAAATTTGTAACAAAGAACACAATTACTAATTACCTCTTAACTTTTAAGATAACTGCAGTTTACTTTTTTCATTTGGTCCAATGAAAGAGAGTGGGCTCCAGGGTGGTTAAAAGAATGACTAGTAGTTTTGGGGAGAAGCTCAGGCAAAGGCCAGACACCGGAGGGATGAAGAGGGGCCCCTCAAAGGCCTCTGGGCTCCACAGGCTCCTAGTCGTGCTTGAGGGTGAGCCTTTCAAAGACACACTCGCCCAGCCCAGCCTGGGGCCAGCCAGCCTGTGGAGGTGAGTCGGTGGTCACCCATCTTCTTGATCAGTTTCACTCCTCATCCCGGAAGTCACAGAGCCGAGGGGCTGCACGGGTAGAACCCAGGGCCTGCAGCTCCACAAGGCCTGGTTCAGGTTCCTCTCCAAGGCCAGGGCGGCTTCCATGGCATCCTGAGTTTTGCCCACTCATCTTGGGAAAGCCTCAGCATGTCCTGGAAGAGAATGCGGCCGCCATGCTTGTTTTGCAACTTTAAGAGATGCTCGGTGCCCTCGCTCTTCTCCGCCAACTCGTGAAAGAATCGGCCACACCCTCGCGAGCCACATCATCCTGGTCGAAACAGCAGCCCAGAGACAGGAAGGTGTGGGAGGTCCGCAGATGCAGGCTGGCCAGGGTGTTGAGCGCAGCCGCCGCCGTGGTGGGGTAATTCTAACGAATCTGGGAGCTCATGGTTGTTCAGTGATAGGAGTTAAGGCAGAAAAAAACCTGTTGTGTTGGCTGGTCCCGGAGGTGTTTCTGAAGGTGGTGACTAGGTAAGACACAGGAGAGTGGTCGGAGGCTGGAAGAAGGGGCGTCCCTAGGTCTGTCCGTCCAAACCCTGTTGAAGCAAGAGGTCCAGTGCCCAGGACCGCCGAGAGCACTGCCTATTTGTCCCATTTTATGGACAGGGAAACAGACGAGTGACCTGAGGTTACATAGCTATCAAGGAGAACTGGGAGTGGAACCACATCAGCCTGACTCTAAAAGTCCACACGCAGGAATTCTCAGAACCACACACAACTTTCCTACACATAAGTCCAAAGTGTTCTGGTAAACTAGAGGCCTGGTGCATAGACTCATGCGCTGGTGGGGTCCCTCTGCTGGCCTGCGCGGATCAGGCTGAAACTGACTCTCTGACACCCCCCGAGAAGTCCTGGATTGTGAGAGGGCAGTTCTCAGGTGACGCATCCCAGAACCAGGCTTCCGCTCTCTGGCACCAGGTGTGTCACCTGAGAACCACAGCTGCCAAATCACCAGCTCCATAGCTCCTGCGTTGAGCGTCTTCCCCCTGGTGGTCAGTGTGTGTCAAGCTATCGGTCCGACAGTCAAATGGTCGGCCAGTCACTTAGGCTTTTATATATATAGATTAGCTGGTGACCTTAACAGGAGCTACAAAGCCATCTACCACCATTAAGGGCCTATACTCACCAGCAAGATCAAAGCAGTGTCCACTGTTCAAAGCATCCCCTGCTCTGAACTCGGACAAGGAACACTACCAAGTCCTCACTCTTTGGGGGCCCATTTCACAGACACTGTACACCACACCACGGTTCAGTTAGCATAGACTTTCCTCAGAAGACATACAATTTCTTTTTTAAAGGAGGATAGCTTGATCTAACAATAAAAATGTACCAGGTAAGACCCAGATAATCACTAATGGGATATTGCTATCTGCCCCAACTCCCTAAAAATACTAGACTAGCCCTATCTGGTTTGGCTCAATGGATAGAGAGTCAGCTTGTGGACTGAAGGGTCTTGGGTTAGATTCTGGCCAAGGGCACAAGCCCAGGTTGCAGTCTTGATCCCCAGCAGGGGGCATGGGAGGGGCAGCCGATGGATGATTCTCTCTCTTCATTGATATTTCTCTCTCAGTTGGTCCGAAGGTTGTGGGTTATTGTTAAGCTGATATTTCTCTCTCTCCTTCCTTCCTCTCTGAAATCAATAAAAATATATTAAAAAACAAAAAACAAAAAAACAACAACCAAGTACAAAGCTCAAAATGGAAGTTTTGGCAGTTATGAGGGCATACAATTCCTACAGCTACAGGTTTTCATCTGCAGAAGGGGCACGCTGCTGATGCTCACTCCAGGAGGTACCCGAGATTGGATTCTAATCTTAACCAATATTTAACAATAAGCTAATTCATACAACTCTAAGACCTTTAAGGATGATGTAAAAAGTTTTATGATCTCTGAACAGAAATCATAACACTACTTCTAGCATTAAGGACCACAAACTGTCCACAAAACCCTTGGAATCGCATCTGAATGTCTTCATAATAGTACCTACCATGAACTGAAAACCCACTCTATACCGAGTGATCTATACACACTATTCCAAGGAGTGGCTTGACTCTTACAACCCCTCTGGAAGATAACTTGGCAATGGTTACCAAAGCCTTTCAAAAGCCCTGACAATTCCAAGAATTTATCCTGAGAAAATAATCAGAAATGAAGAGAAAGCCTTAAGTATATAGATATCCATGGAATTGTTACCCATTTCCAATTTCTCCCAATTCCAATATGCAGACATAGAGAAATTATTGAATTGTAGTACATCAATATGATGACATATCATTTAGCCATTACAGGGATGAGTTTGAAGAATCCTATATAATAAAGAGCTAATACGCGAATGGTCATCACACCCTCATGCCGTCACAGTTCATCACCAGGAGGCTGTGTGTGCACACGGGTGGGCGGGGCTGTCTGGGCGGGGCTGTGTCTAGCAGCGGCAAGGCCAGGGGTCCTGGCAGCTCTGCCTCCGTGTGGTGAGGCCAAGGCGCCCCCCCTCTCCCCCGCTCTGGCCTCCGCCTTTGGGGCAATCCATCCAGGAGCACTGGATGGGTGGGCGGGGCCTACCTCTTTGGGGGAGATCGATTGCGGGGCTCCCACACTGTGAGAGGGCACAGGCCAGCCTGGGGACTCCCCCACCCCCTCCCAGTGCACGAATTTCGTGCACCAGTCCTCTAGTTTATACTATATGGGAAAATGCTGACAATGTAGTGTTGGCTGAAGCTATTGTTTATACAGTTTAGGCCATGTTTAAAAAACACACTTTAAATATACATATAAAGGGAAGGAAATATTATTTTAAAAAATACATTAAAAAGTAAACTGCAGTTATCATAAAAGTTAAGAGGTAATTAGTAATTGTGTTCTTTGTTACAAATTTTCTATAATGACTATATAGTATTTATCAAGGGGGGAAAATACATGAAAATTAACTGCAAAAATAAACATACCCAAACCAGCTACAATAGAAAATTTCAGTTTCCACTGGTTTAAAATAGTATTTTACAAACCACAACTCCTGCTGTGTGCAGTGCTGTGTTTCCAGGATCATACAGTTATTGCTATTATTTAGCATTTAAATGTCTTTCACTTGAGAGTACTTACACATTTCACACCCTCTTTACCACATGCCACCTACAGGGGTAAATTACAACAGTGTTTCAAAAATACAGACATTAAAGGGAAGCTGAGTTCAGGTAACTGTTTGAAGCTCGCCCAGCCAGGTCTGCATCAAAGCATCAAGCAGAGCCACGACTGGCTTCCAAGCCCACACTTGCATTACGCTTCAGTCACATGTAAAGTAGAGATGGTTTTTATCCTAAATTTGTTATCATCACATTATAACTACTAGATATTAAAAATTAACACCCTTTCTGAGTGTTTGTTTAAGCACAGCTGATATTGTTGTGAAAGACTGAATTATAAACCAGTGACCCTCAATGCAAGATAATACTTGGATGTAGAAAGAAAACAGAAAAATATTAGAATTTCCATTTCATTTGTATCCTTCTTTAAATTCTATTCTGTACATTATAAACAGGCACAGAACGTATTACTTCATGTGTATGTAACTGATGTTTACAGCTATCACATACACAATATACATGCATTTATAACATTAGTTTGGGTACAGAAGTTATTTTATGTTTTACATACATCACAAAGATTACGTTTCAAAACATTTTACTCAAGAGGGATACATGATAAAAAAAAAAAAAAGTATGGAGATCAGTGGTTTGGACACACAGTGACAGGAAAGAATAGCCAGGAACATAAATATATATATATATTCCTTTTAAGTGAAGGGTGAGAATGGAGAAGGTAAATAAGAAGAGCGAGGTGGAGACCGGAACAAGGAGAGGGAGGAAGGGAAGATGAGTGCCAGCGGAGAATCCTGGGAGGTAAAGGTGGGGTTACTTTGAGGGAGCCAAGATGATCTATTTGTGGGCAAAAGCCATACTATTATGATTTGGTGAAAAGGAAATGACTCAAGTGCCTAGGGTGGATTCCATTCCTGCCTGATGGGCAAGCGACTGAAAGACAACCGACCACCAGACATCTTAAAATAGATACTGTGTTAGGTTACAGTAAGGCCGACAGAACAGACTTGAAAAACAGGAGTTGTTTACAGCTCTGTAATACAGGCTTAACACTGGTTGGAGCCCAGGCTCCATATGCTAATGTGGCTTAGGATAGAAGTAAATGCCAAATGGTGACCTGAAAGAATTTGGAGTTAAGACTAGCTGTTCAATTGGCAAGGTATTCCTAACATTCTAAGCTGGCAGAGAACGGTGCCTGTTTTAACCATACAATGGTTTTTCAGCCTGCGCCCTCTATATTTAAATTTTGTCACATATGTCTTCTCCCAAGCCCTAATGACAACAAAATCAATTTACACTTCAATTTTATTTCCCCTACCAGCTGGTGATTATAACCAGGGTAATACAACAGCCCGAAGGAGAACAGTGGGGCTTTAAAACCAACTCCAAAAATGTAAGAGTTAAATTTCCCTCCCTATTTAAACTGTCCTTTCCTATTCTGCACTTGAGGGATTGATTGACAGGAACTGGGTCCTTATATAAGTTACAAAATATCCCTCATCCCAATTTCTTTGTAGCTTTTGCCAGAATGCGTATTTGAGTGACACTGTGCCTCGAAATAAATTCTTTTTGATCTTCAGCTTTTTGCCAAAGCTCTAAAATTCACACAGTGTAAAGAAACCATACTCACTTCTCAAGAAAATATTAACCCATGTGTATATGATACCACAGAGCAGCGGTTGGGCAATAGTTTTTTTTTGTAACTATTTCATAACTGCAGTAGGGAATCAAGATTTACCTTCTGGGACCTTGGAGAACTCCAATGTTCTTAATATTTACACTTATCAAGTCAAGATTTAAATGTTAGCGTGAAAGCCACAGTGTTACTATCCCCGATTCTGTTTGGTGGCAGCCCCAAAGCATTTTGGGAATACATTGCTTTAGCTTATTTAAAATGTAAGGGCAGCTGAACTTCTACCCAGCAGGGAAGGGGATTGAGACATGCAAATCACAGAGAACACAGGCCGTTTTTTAAAGCAAATATCCTCGTAAAGCTCCGAGCTTCAAACGGACCCAAACTCTCCGTTGTGACCTGAAAGAGGGATTTTGGCCACCCAGGGAAGAAATCAGACACACAAACAGGTTGAACTGCACTAACAACTGTTTTTTGTGGGGTTTTTGTGTGTGTGTGTTTTTTTTAAAAGAAATTTAACTGGAAACCAATGTGGTAGGGGGAGAGGGAAGCGCATTTCTAACGGCCTCAAGACAAGGCAGTACCAGTTCCAAACTTTTCCCTTGGCTGAAGAGTGCACATCGGTATACTGTATATTTAAGGGTAAAATAGGATTACTTAAGCAGGAACCCTCTCCTCAATGCAGATGAACATATCTATCAGGGATCCAAACTGGTATTTCTGGTTGGGGAAGCAGGACATATGAACTCATGTGCAAACCGAGGGCTTCTTCCTAGCTAGATCCACAACGACACCCCAGACCGGGGCCAGTGGAGGGAGAATGGGCCCCAAGAGCCAGAAGGGAGGGCGGCCGCACGGCAGTCCACGCGCCCCTAGGGCTGCAGCAGGGGCGTCGGAGGTCAGGTTCTCCACTTCCTCCCCGAGCACCTCACCTCACCCCACTCCACCCACTCCACCCCATTCCACTCCCTCCACCCCATCCCACCCCACACCCATCCCACCCACCCACCTATCCCACCCCACCCCACCCCACCCCACCCCAGGAGTGTGTGGGGGCAGCCGCCGATCCCAGCTCCCTCCGGCTGCGGGGGCGAGCTGAGGAATAGCCATCCCGCTCCCCCGCCCCCAAGGCTTCCCCGGCAGCAGAGGAAGGCGTGAGGCCCCCGAGAGGGAGGAGGGCTCGCCCCGGGGAGGCCCCGCTCGCCGCCCGGCGTACCTGGCTCTCGGCCGCGGGGATGCCCGACTCGAGCTCGCACAGCGCGCGGAAGTTGTGCAGCTCGAAGTCGGCGTCGACCTGGAGGGAAAAGGTCACCTCGGAGAGGTCCCTCCGCACACAGTACACGGTGAGCAGCATGGCCCCGGCCTGATCCAGCTCGGCTCGGCGCGGCCCGGGCTCGGCGCGGGGCTGCGGGCGGCGGCGGGGCCTGGCTGGCGCTGCGGGGAGCCGGCGGCGCGGGCTGCGAGCTCCTTCCCTCCCTCGCACACGCTCGGCGATCCCCTCCCTCCCGCCCCGACGAGCGAGCACAGGCGCCGCCACCGCCTGCGACTCCGTCTGCCGCCTGCCGGCCTGCGCGCCTCCCCCCGCGGCCTGCCGCCAAGCGCGCCGGCCCCCGCGCCCCGCCGCAAACCGGCTGCCGTAAAGTACGCCCGGCCCGCTCCACCTTCGCGACGCAGCGGAAGGGCGGGACAGGACCGGGAAGGGAAGGGTGGCGGGAAGCCAGGAAAATATAGGAGGGGCTGTGGGAGTGGAGAGGGAGGGAGAAGAGGGAAGAGGAAGAGTATCAATGGGTTGATTTAATGACTTAAGTCTGGAGGACGCCACAGTATCATTTATTCACCCAACAGGCATTTATTTCCCTGATTACATAGTTGTGTCAAGAATATATATATTTTTAGCCGGGACTGGTTTGGCTCAATGGATAGAGCGTCGGCTTGGGGACTGAAAGGTCCCAGGTTCGATTCCAGTCAAGGGCATGTACTTTGGTTGCAGGCACATCCCCAGTAGGGGGTCTGCAAGAGGCAGCTGATCGATGATTCTTTCTCATCGATGTTTCTAACTTTCTATCCCTGTCTCTTTCTCTGAAAAAAATCAATAAAATATGTATATTTTATTGATTTAAAAAAAGAATATATATATATATATATATATATATATATATATATATATATATATATATATATATATATATATTGTCCTTAAGGAACTCTGAAGCAAGTATAGGAGACTGAGAACTGAGCATAGTTCTAAAATATATTTTCTGAGGTAAAGATTGAGGCCCAGAGGGCTTAATTCACTTCCTGTCCCAATGGTTTAGGGTTAAAACCAGAATCATTAGCCTGGTTCATAGAACTCGGCTACCTCTGGCCCGTCTTCCCCTCCAGCCCTGCCTCCCGAGCCCGTTCTACCCTCTGCTCTCCCGGCCACATGGTGATTCAGCGCCTCCGAAGAAGGCTTCCTTCCCCCGCCTTGTAGTTTCCTCTACTTGGGCGGTCTCTTTCCCAGCCCTGGCATGTGAGGTGCCTTTGTTGGGCTTAGAATCCACTGGATAAAATATTTGTTATTTCAATGTCCTTTAGGCCACATAGCTGATGAGTGATAGAGGCCCAGAACATGAGATGAGTCAGAAAACCAAAACAGAAAGAGAAAATGGATGCAAGATTGGAATCTCCCTGTTTTCCCCCTCCTCACCCATCCATGGAGTAGGGACCTGTGAAAGAAAAGAGCCACATGCTAACCTGAACGGCTCGGGAAGGCCTGCCTGGCAGTCCTGCAAACTCAGAGACCTAAAGTGACCACAAAAGATGGTTTGAAAATTAAATATTTTAACTACAAACAGGTTATGGTGGGTAGTCATTTCCTGGGCCAATATTTCCCCAAACAAAGATCAACTTGGATCTTCTTTACTGAGCCCATTTGCCTTTTTTTTTTTTTTTTTTTTTTTTTTTACCTCTAAGATAACATATCTATGGGATGTCTGGATAACTTGTAACTTCCCTTTTTCCGGAGCCCCTGGGGCACAACCAAATGTGGTGGGCGCCAGGACAGATGCCTCAAATTCCTTCATTATCATGTTAATTGTTCCTGAACTCACCTAAGTACGTGTCTGTCATTTTACATTTTACCCAATCCCAGGAGTTACCCACCGCTTTGCTTTCTCCTGCCTCCTTACGCCATCACCAATTAATTTCATGTAAACCACCTATGTCCCTCCTTTGATTGCAATGTATAAATAGAGAAATGTAACCCGCCATTCTTCCGAGCATTATCTCAATCCTTTGAGGTTCTGCTTCCTGGCATATGTCGACAGTTTGGCTCAAATAAACTCACAAAAATTCTTTACAGATTTCAATGTGTTTTTTTTTTCTTCCGTTAACAGACCCTTCTTCTATTATAATGGGAGGGAAGGAGGAAATGGGATGGCATGCAAGCAGGTAAATAGGTAGGTTTGGTGACAAGTGTGGATGGCAAGGAGCCACATGCTAACAACCTGACTTAGGGAAGGTCTGTATAGAGGCCTTGCAAACTAAGAGACCTAAAATAACCACAAAGGATGGTCTGAAATTAAGACCTTTTAATTAAAAAGAAGTTTACAGTGAGTTGTCAAGTCTTAGCCCAGTATCTTCTGTCTTTCCTGAACCTACTTGTCTTTTGGCATCTAAGATAACACACCTGTGGAATGTCAGCGTAACTTGTCCCTGTTTTCCAGACCCCCCTCAAGGGCACAAGCAATGCGCCAGGGGGCCAGGGTGCAGGGCACAAAAACTCCCCCATTGTTATTGTTATCTTGTTGACTATTATTTATCCTGTGCCCACCTATGTAAAAGAAGTATGTGTCTATTCTTTTACTTTTTATCCAATCCCAGAGGTTTCCTCACTTTGCTTTCTCCCCAATAGATCACCGAAGGAGTTCATGTAACCTACTTACCTTGAGATTATGCTTCCAGGCAATTATGAACAGTTTGGCTCAAATACACTCACAAAAATTCTTTACAGGTTTGAATGTTCCTTATGTTAGCACAAGAAAGAGAATGACCAGCTGAAGAATTTTTTTTTTTTTTTTTTTTTTTTTTTTGTGCTGAAACCGGTTTGGCTCAGTGGTAGAGCGTCCGTCTGCGGACTGAAAGGTCCTGGGTTCGATTCTGGACAAGGGCATGTACCTTGGTTGTGGGCACATCCCCAGTGAGGGGTGTGCAGGAGGCAGCTGATCGATGTTTCTCTCTCATCGACGTTTCTAGCTTTCTATCTCTCTCCCTTCCTCTCTGTAAAAAATCAATAAAATATATTTTAAAAAAGAAAAAAAAAAGAAAAAGAAAATGTTTCTTTAAAAAAAAAAGAATTTTTTTTTTTCTGTAAAGGAGGAGAGAAGGTCATCTGTGGAGAATAGAGGAGGTGTGTTGGGGGGGTGGGGAGGGAGGGACTTTCCCTGAGGGTCACAGTATGGCTGGCTGCCTCCGCTCCATGCATCAGCTCTTTTTCAAGGCAAGAGCGTTCCCAGAAGCGCCCCAGTTGGTTTCTGTTTACATCTCACTAACCAGAACTATGTCACAAAGATGCAAGAAAGGCTAGGAAAGGGCAGGGAGAGAGAAAAGGGGGTGAGAAATGAGTATTAGGTGAGACATACATAGTGCCTATTATGTATGAATAGGCACTATGTATGAAATAGCAGAGGTATGAGATAACAGAGGTATGAAATAACCATTGCCAAGTTGAAGCAAGTTCAGCAGAGAAATGATGTAGGATTACCAGGTAGTATCAAGGATTCAGTTGGAGTTTGAATTATGAATTACTTTTTGTTACATTTTTTTTTCTAGTAGTGCTCAGGTGTCCAGGTGTGACAGGTTTTATTTTCCAAAGATGGCCATGATAGTATCTCTCATCTTACATGATCTTTCCACAACAATATTGTGACATTCCTCCCATTAAGAGATGGGGTATATATCCCTCCATTTGAATCATGGCAGATAGATTCTGGCATAAGTATCATTGTGGATAGGTCATAAAAGCCAATATAGCTTCTCCCTGGATATTATATATATATATTAGAGGCCTGGTGCATGCAATTTGTGCACTGGAGGGGGTGTGTCCCTCAGCCCAGCCTGCCCCCTCTCACAGTCTGGGAGCCCTCAGAGGATGTCCTAAGCGGCAGTCTGGCCTCCCTCTGCGAGAGGCAACCAAATGATCAGGGGAAGGTGCCACCCTCATCACCCCACTGCTCCTGACCCTAATGGTGGAACAACTGGTTGCTATGACACAAATGACCACCAAGGGGCAGGTGCTCAACGCAGGAGCTGCCTCCTGGTGGTCAGTGTGCTCCCACAGAGGGAGCTCCACTCAGGTACAAGCCAGGCTGACAGCTGCTAGCACAGCAGCGGTGGTGGAAGCCTCTCCTGCCTCCTCAGCAGCGCTAAAGATGTCTGACTGCGGCTTAGGCCCACTCCCCTAAGCTGAAGTTGGACATCCCCCGAGGGCTCCCGGGCTGCCAGAGTGATGTCTGACTGACAGCGTAGGCCCGATCCCCTGGGAAGTGGGCCTAATCTGGCAGGTGGAGATCCCCCAGGGGTCCTGGATTGGGAGAGGGCACAGGCTGGGCTGAGGGACCACCCTGAGTGCATGAATTTTCATGCACCGGGCCTCTAGTATATATATTATTGGCTTCAGAGAGGGAGGGAGGGATAGAAACATTGATGAGAAAGAATCATTGATTGGCTGCCTCTTGCATGACTCCTACTGGGGATTAAGCCCACAACCTGGGCATGTGCCCTGAACAGGAATCGAACGTGACTTCCTGGTTCATAGGTCAATGCTCAAGCACTGAGCCACTGCAGCCTGGCTGTCTGGTTCATTTGGAACACTAGCTCTTGGAATCCAACAGCCATACTGGGAGGAAGCCCAAACTACCCCCGGTAGTGAGACAACATGGAGAGAAAACGTGTAGATGTACCAGGCAGCAAACCATCTGAGGTCAAAGCCAATTATCAGGAAAAACCATGAAGCACATGAATGAAGATACTTCCAGTTGATTTCAACCTCAGTTTTTGAGTCATCTCTAGCCTTTTTTTTTTTTTAAGGTTTTTATTTTTTTTAATTATTTAAAAAAAATTTTTTAAAATTTTTTTAATTAAATTATTATCTTTGTACATATACCATTACCCCCCCATACATGCCCTCCCTTCCCAGAGCATCTCTAGCCTTTGAGTCTTCCGAGCTGATGCCCAAGACATCACAGAACCGTCTCCACTGTACTCTTTTTTTTTTTTTTGAGAGAAAAAACTTTATTTATGAAAATCTGAAGCAGTACAAAACTCAGAAATTCCACTTAGGTGCAACAAACATGGATACGATGCTAAGAAACTCTAGTCTTTCCATAAATTGAATAAAATTGAAGTTTAACAGCACAGTAATCCTTAAAGCAGCAATCCTGAAATTTCAACATGGCAGGACATATTGTTAAATAAGCAAAGCTAGAATGAGCTATAGAGTTTTTGTTGTTAAGATATTGAGTGAGAGACAATTACATGAAATGAGTTGAACAAAAGATGCATAAGCTTGAAAAAAACCACTTCACATGGGTAAAATTTTGATGTCATAATCAACCCATATGGCCCCTTGTTTTATTAAAGATGACTAGATTCTCTGGATGAAAAGGGGACTTCCCCCAGCTTACCCTATCCTTACTTTATTACTGGTCAATTTCTACTAAAGCTTGTGCTATAATAAGCTACCTCTAGGTAAATGCTCTTGCCTAGAAGAGGATTGCAAATCTGTTAATATTAGAGCCATGAGGGGGAAATTGACATTAAAAATCTAGGTCAAAAATAGGATGGAAAAGAAAAAAGAATCTATAGGATGGGGAAAAAAGCATAGGATAGATCTCATTGAAATACTGAGTTGTAAAGGGACTTAGGAACAAAGTTAAGAGCAGAAAAAGACCTTTGGACAAAGTAGAAAGGACAGTATGAAAATATTTACAAAAAAAGGTTCGGAATAAAGTAATATTTACAGAACGTTAAACTATTAATCTGCAGCCATAGTAAGGCCCCTTCGAGTTCCCAAAGCCTTTGCCTTCTTCTCCTTTCGTTCTTGCTCGTGTTTCTTCCGTTGCTCCTCCCTGGTCTGAAGAGGGGGTTGTTTGTAAGTTTTCTTGTGGAAGCTAACTCTGCTTACATGCTCATTCAGAGATTTATTTTCTTTAGATTGTCCCCATGGTTTCAGTTTTCCTTTGTGTGGCTCATAGTTGAGCGGACGAGACAAACTTGCTTTGAGATCAAACACTGGTTTCTTGTTGGAGACTGGAGTCTGTGCTGCTTCAGCTGAAAACTTGAATGGGGTAATAACTGTAGCAGAATCCCCCTTTGTGGTCTTTAACTTGTTTGCCCCAAGCACAGCCTGGCCTTTTGGAGTATTCCCAGATATGGACACATGTGGAGACTTTCTGGCCGGAGTCTTAGTCAGTGAACGCTTATATTCATTATCTTTAGTAGCAGCTGAAAACCTGACATTCATTTTAGTTGCTGAGAGAGTGGAACGCTTGACCGACCCCTTCATATACAAGGTGCTCAGATCTGCAGCACCCGGGGCCCGGCCTTGTGAGCGCTGCTGGCTTGAGGGAGTACAAGCCATAGAGAATCTTCCTTGGCGACCCACTGGAGTTGCCACCACTTCCTTAGTTATGGACCGCTTCTTCAGTTCGTTAAGTGAACTGTATTGTTCAAAATTTTTCTTTTTTCTCTTAATATATTGATCAATGGACTCCATTTCCTTAAAATGGGCCTCATGAAGCTCCTTAAAGTTTGGAGTTGTGATTGCAATTCTTTTATTTTTTCCAGATTTGGAAAACCCATCTGTGTAGCCAGACTTCTTTCTTTCTGAAGGCACCTTTGAATCTTCATTACCGTTTACTTCACTACTTCCCGAGGACTCTGCGTTCTCCTTTCCTTGTCTCCCATCTGGTGGCGATGGGACTTCTGCAACAGGTCTGAGAGCCTGGTTTTCCTGTTTTTCTTGATTCTGGAACTCAGTGGGGTCACTTGTTTTTATCTCTGGATGATCCTGCTGGGAGTCAGGACTGCTGCGGACAGTCCTGCGCCTTCTCCTTTTCTTGGTGACATGGCCAGCTGGTTCCCACTCAGCTTGTTTCTGACTGCTGATCTGCATCTCGGTCTCATCACAAGAGGATGCAGAAGTTTGACTTTCATCCTGCTTTCCATTTTCTTTTCTTGCTTCCCCTTTCAGGTGGGCTTTCAAGGTTTTTAGCAGTTTGTCTGCCCTCAGGTTAGCCCGGAGGCCCAGGCTCTTGGCCAAGTTCTGCAGGTCACTGTACTTGAGGGAGTCCAGCTCCTCGAGGGAGGGGACGGTCATCCCGACTACCAATGCAGGCAACCAGGCAAAGCAGCACCCTCCAACCTCCGGCCCGCGGTTCAAAACTCAGGCGCCCCTCCACTGTACTCTTTTTGAATTCCTGACCCACAGGATCTGTGAGCACACAAAAATGAGTACTTGGAGTAGCTTTTTACAAAGCAACAATAACCAGTACAATGAATAAAGGCACAGCCAATAAACTCCTTTATATAAGAGAGAACTTTTAAAAATATATTTATTTCAGAGAGGAAGGGAGAGGGAGAGAGAGAGAGAGAAATACCAATGATGAGAGAGAATCATTAATTGGCTGCCTCCTGCACACCCCCTACTGGGGACCAAGCTACATTCGGGGCATGTGCCCTGACTGGGCATTGAACCATGACCTCCTGGTTCATAGGTTGATGCTCAACCACTGAGCCATGCCGGCCAGGCTGGGGACTGTTTTATTCTCATTTCATGGATAAGGAAACTGACATGTGGGGGTTTTACACTTGCCCAACTTCATACATTTAATCAGTGGCAGATTCTCCAAACTGAAAGAAACTTTGAGTGAAAACATCTATTTCCTACCCTTCACTAGAGCAGAAATGCCCTGCTTGTACATTTGCTGTACTTCAACACCCTGACCATTCATCACTGAATGGTCACTACCAGCAAAGTTTTTGCCTACCTCTAGGTTCTTGCCTAATTCTTTTCCACCAGAAAGAACAAATCAGTAAACCCTTGTTGATTACAAAAACTCCTACACTAAGAACCAATTTCCACAAACACTGAGGTACTTGTTTGATATTTGTGACCTGTTACTTTTTTAAAAGCATATATAGATTGGCCTTTAATATTTTCCCTCATGATCCATTGTGGGTTGCTCAAAGAAGCCTACCTCACCTTACTGTTTCTGGCGTGTCAACTGAGAGCCGATAGTGCTCCATTTTACTCATTTCGCCTTAACACAAACACTTTCATTCGGTTTCCTATTTCTTAGGCCAAGATCATGTGGATATGTATAATGCAATGCCTCCTCCCTTTCCTGCTTATCTTTCCAAACATCTGATAGCCTTTCAGTCCCACTGGGTCAACTCTTCCTTTTCATTTCCAATGTACCTTGTACCTACTGGGTTATCAAAACATTTTAGGTAATTATAGCTATAATTTTAAGGCCATACTGAGAAATTTGGAGCAAGAGATCACATGTACAGCAAGTCCTCATTTAACATTGTCAATAGGTTCTTGGAAACTGTGATGTCAGTGAAACAATGTATAATGACAACAATTTAACAACCATAGGCTTACTGATATAAACAGGAGTTAGGTTCTGGTCACAAAAACATCACCAAACATTCTAAATAAAGACCCAAAGCACTTCTAATATTAAACACTGAAGTAAATGTGAGCTATACAGATATTTAAGAAAGATGGATAAAAACAAGGTAATTATTTTCCAACCCACTTATTTTAGTTCAGGGCTGTGGATGACCGGATCCTACCTGGCAAGGTCCCCTTTCATTAAATATATATTTTAAAATATATTTTTTATTGATTTCAGAGAAAAAAAGAGAGGGGGGAGAAATAGAGATAGGAACATCAGTGATGAGAGTGAATATCATTCATCGGCTGCCTCCTGCACACCCCCCTATTGGAATTGATCTAAAACCCAGGCATGTGCCCTGATTGAGAATGGAACTGTGACCTCCTGGTCCATAAGTCAATGGTCAGCCACTGAGCTACACTGGCTGGACAAGGTTGCCTTTCCACTGCAGAGCATACACACACACACACACACGCACACTCACACACACACACACACACACAAATGGGAACAATTTAGACACATCAGTGCACCTCATGTGCACATATTTGGGATCTGGGAGGAAACCAGAGTATCCAGAGAAAACCCATGCACACATGGGGAAAACATGTAAACTCTACACAGTGGTCCCAACTGTGGTTCAATTTCTTTTATCAGCACCATAGCAAAACATTGAGGACCTTCTGTACTTAGATTAGCAGACACAGTCCTGGGCAAAGCTACAAAACAGGCCAAAGTCTATCCTTGGCAAGCTCAACTTTATGCTCATTCCCTGGCTCCAGAACTTTCTCTCTGCTTAGTTCTCACGTGCTCCTACTTTCTTCCCTTGCCTCTGCAAAACCTACTCTCAAGAAAAGATCTGGAGCTGAATCTCAGTATTACCTCTTAGGGTATTTTTATTTTAATAAGGGATAAAGGATTAATCATCAGCTTTCTAGGCTTAAGGAAACTTGGTGGGGAAGGTAAATTTTCTGAGAACCTTCTGGATTGACACAAGCCTATTTCACCTACTTTGTTGATACCTGAGCAGGGCTTTATGGATCTGTCCTAGATGAATACCTAGTTCAATACCCACCTTAGTAGTTAAATTGTTGATTTCTATTCTTTCTCTTCAAGAAACTCCTGGTTTTTCATTAAAAAACTGGAATGTCTTTCTTCATGGAACACCACATCACAACGTGGAGGAATCTCAGTCATGGTTAAAAGTAGAGAGTCAACTTTTAAGATATAAAATGAATACAAAGCATTCTGAGAGTGGGCACTGCCAATGTCAACATCATGATAATATTGTAGATATAACGTGTTTCCCAGAAAATAAGACATCCTCCGAATATAAGACCTAGTGCATGGAAAGATCAGATATCCCCTGAAAATAAGACCTAGCGCAACTTTGGGAGAAAAAATTAATATAAGACACTGTCTTATTTTCGGGGAAACAGGATAATATCCTATATAATAAAACCCTAATATGCAAATCGACTGGTCGCTATGATGCACAGTGACCACCAGGGGCAGATTCTCAATGCAGGAGCTGCCCCCTAGCAGTCAGTGTGCTCTCACAGGAGGAGCACTGCTCAGCCAGAAGCAGGGCTCACGGCTGGTAAGCGCAGTGGGAGCCTCTCCGGCCACTGCAGCAGTGCTAAAGAGCAGTGAGCCGAGCAGTAAGGAGCAGCAATAAGTAATGAGGGGACCTGGACTGTGAGAGGGTGCAGGCCAGGCTGAGGGACCCCTCCTACACACACACACACACACACACACACACACACACACACACCAGTGCATGAATTCCGTGCACGGGACCTCTAGTATTCAATATTAGCCACTTGGAAAAACTTAGCTACTCACCATAATGAAGAATAGAACCATAGTGGGCATATACCATTTATTCATTTTTTCAACAGTTAATGCCTACTGCATACCATATATGTTCCAGGTACCAGTGGCGCAGCAGGGAACAAGACAAAGTGCCTATCCACATGGAGCTTATTACGTTTTAGTCAGAGTGACAGACAACAAACATATAAAATGTGTCAGGGGTTGATAAGTGTTAAGAGAGGGTGGGGAAGCTAGGATCATCGCTAGGGAGTGCAGGGGTGGAGGGTGGGAAATTGGTGCATGCAGTGGTTGTTACTTTACACAGGGCTCTCAGGGCAAGTCGGCTTTATAAGGTGACATCTAAGCAGACTGAATGAAGTGAAGGTGTTAAGTCACGTGGACATAAGGAGAGAACACTCGGCACAGGGACGAGCAAGAGACCAAAATACGAAGCAGACTTACCCTGCTCAAGAAACAGCATGAAGAATAGCACTTCTGGGGATCCATGAATGAGGAAAGTGGAAGGAGCTCATGGGACTAGATTATGCATAAGGACCTTGGCTTTTACAATACTAATAAAGGAAGCCACAGAAGGGCGTTGAGCAGAGAAGGGACGTGATGTGACATGCGTGTTAAAAGATCACTTTGGCTGACTTAAGGCAAGAGTGGACTAGTTGGAAGGGGATTGCAATAACCCAGGTGGAGGATCATGGGGTTGTGACCGGGGTGATAGTTGTGCAGTAGTGAGAAGTGATCGGATTCTGAACTCATTCTGAAGGTAGAGCCAAGAGGACTTGCTGATGCACTGACTAGGGGGCGTGAAAGAAAGAAACCAAGGACGGCTACAAGGGTATGGGCCAGTATTCCAGAGCGGACAGGGTGCTTAACTCCTCTGCTTGCTGGAAGGGCACTGATTAGAATGAAAGGATAGTATCACCAACAACCTCCTGGGAAGTATTAAAAAGGAAAATGGGGAGGTTGAGCGTAAACCTATGAACCAGGAGGGCATTGGTTCGATTCCCAGTAGGGGCACATACCCAGGTTTCAGGCTTGATCCCTAGTGTGAAGTGTGCAGGAGGCAGCCAACCGACGATTCTCTCTCATCATTGATGTTTCTATATCTCTTTCCCTCTCCCTTCCCCTCTGAAAATATAAAGAATACTCTTTATTTTTAAAATATATTTTATTGATTTTTTTTTACAGAGAGGAAGGGAGAGGGAGGGATAGAGAGAAACATCCACCGGAGAGAAACATGGATCAGGTGCCTCCTGCACACTCCCTACTGGGGATGTGCGCGAAACCAAGGTATATACCCTCGACCAGAATCAAACCTGCTACCCTTGAGTCCCCAGGTTGATGCTCTATCCACTGAGCCAAACCGGTTAGGGCTAAAGACTACTCTTAAAAAAAAATTCCATTCATATTCGATGTTTCCTTTGCCAGGCCTCGCAGGCCTGTGGCGGGGTCGCGCTGGGGCCTAGATTTCTCGCACTGACGTGCGGAAGGCTGGGCTCTGGCCCTCGCTCATGAGAGGCTGCCGTAGTCCTCCATATTCACAGTGGAGGTTCCACTCAACTCCTTCCGCAGGACAGCGCCCTGCCTCCCCCCGCAAACCCGCTGCTGCCCTCATGCAGTCTCTCTCCTCAAGGCAGCGCTGGCTACACTGCCCGACACACTGCCCGACTCGCTGCCCTTCATTCCCCAGTTCCCACCCCGTTTGTCAGGACGCTTCCTGCCATCCTAACGTTGCTGGTGTTGCACCGGGAGGCAGCCTCGGCCGAGCTGTACGCTCAGGAAACGCCCCTGCACGACAAGACTGGCCCCACGAGCGCCATATGCCGCCGTCGCGCCGCTTCTCTACGGCTGGCGCGGAGCTTCGAGCGACGCCGCGGCGGACGCCCCAGAAAGCGGTGCAGAGCCCGCCCCCTCCTCCGCCCAGAAGCTTGTGG